GCTCTCCATCGTAGTTCTTCAGGCAAATGATGCCTAGAGGTCATTATTACGAATTGGCTATCTCAGATTTTCAATGTCGCAATCACAGTAAAATTTGTGTGCTTTCTCTCAAACTTGGACTTTTATGCTCCAGGCAGATGACGTAAGCCGAGTGCAGCGCCACTAATTTGCATATTGCAATTTTACTCAGCTACTCTTAGTGGACAACATATGCAAATTTTGCACGGTTTGGCTTACTTTTGAAAGAGTTATCGCTATTTTTGTGATTTTTCCTTAATTTATGATAACCAGTGTATATTAATCAAGAAAAAAAATTATTCTTAGTCATCGCACTAATTTCCTTAAAAATTCATTTAAATTTAAAAGCAATTTTTCTCTTATGATTTAAACCGAGGTTTAAAAACCTGTTAAATGTTGCCATCAGGCACTGACTATTTTCACGACAGCCATGAGAATATTATTTTCACAAAAATGATTTGAAATGATCCGAAATTAAAATGAAGATCATAAAAGCTTCAAGTTATATTGATGGAAAATTGATATGATTATTTGCTTTAGTAATAATCACAAAGAAAGAAGCACTGTATTATTAATTTTTCTTTTTTTTTTAAATTTTACTAAGCTGATGGTTAAAAAAAAAATGAATCGATAAATAAATAAATAAAATAACATTGCCTTTATTCAATAAATCAAATTTTTTATGACACAAATTTTATTTCTACGATTTAAAAAACCAACCTTTAATGTGGTAAATAAAGGACAATAGCACTTAACCTTAAAAAACATCAGTGTAAGAAATATCTGACAAATGTATACAGGACAGTGGCACTTAATCAATAAAAGCATATACATCGCTGTACAGAATACCGGACAAATGTATACCGGGAAGGAACACTTTACCTTATAAAATATCAGTAGGCAATATCGGACAGCAGCACTTGACCTTTAAAAAAAGCATATTAATCAATACTGATTAAATGTATAAGCAGTATTCCTATTTGTGCATATCAGTATTTCTGTATAGTCAGTAATATGTCCTGTACTTTTAAAAAAATCATCACTTTAAGGAATTCCATGCAAGTGTGCACCTGACAAACATGCTGTCATATTATTGTCCCATTTATTATTAATTTTAAAAAAACGAGCATTATTTATAGGCATTGGCTATTTTCAACAAATTTTTAAAAAAAAACAATAGTGATGTCAATTGAATTGTTCCGCTTCACTCAATTGGTTATTGATGCTAATTGTCGATGTCTCATTCCAAAGGAAGAAAACACCAAAAGATCGCCGACATCAACTTCTTAGCGCATCACGTCATCTGAAAAAACGCAAAACGATAGATACTAAAAGATCTAGCTGAGAGGTCTTGCGCATCGAGACGTTGACGAAGGCCCTCACTGTAAACTAGCCAAACACTTCCATAAATTATTTTATTTCAACATTGCAACAAAGTGAATATTTTAAACAACAGTAGTTGAATTTTTTAATAAATTTTTTGCTAACCACAATTTGTTATTAACCAAATTGTGTCAATCTTTAATATTCTTGTTAAAAATAATTATGCGTGCAACATTAAAAAAAATACTAGTCAAATAATAATCGTAAATAAAATTTTTACATTTGAGCGTGGCTTTAAAGATCGAATATGAGGACATACTTATTGACATTTACATACATTGAAGCTGTAAGTTAATGATTTTACTTTGTTTTATCATTTTGAAACAAGTCAATGTATTGACAGAGAATTTAAAAGATCCGACAAAGTTTTTCAAAAGGAAAAATATCGTTAAAAATGACTCTTAAGCAACAATTCGATGATCTCTCGAAGAAAGTTAACGATTTAGGCAAAATATTTGAAATAGAAGAAATGTTTAAGGATTTGTTATCGTCTTCCTCAAAAATCGGAAACAATTTGCCAAATCTTCGCAGAGAAATAATGGAATTAAAAGAAAATATTTCATTCAAAAGAAGCGAAATTCGAAAAATGAAATCTAAATTGAAGAAAGAGAAGTAAAATATTTCAATGTCATTGGCTACATCACAAAAATTCATAGATGCACGATGGCTGTTATATGCCACACAAGCTAAATTCATTTCCTAGTTAAACAAAAACGTCTTAAAATATACAGGGCTATTTAATTCCCTCCGAGGTTTCGAAGCATTATAGTAAAAAAAAAAACGAAGACGAATGTGGCAAAAAAGAACATATGAAATTATTTCGAAAGTATTCAAGTTTTAATTTAAGCAGTCGCCGGAAGATGGCAGTAACATGAACCACTGAAGCCAGTTGTAGTAAAGAAAAATGGCGTTCATAGGGGGAGGGAATTATGAATAACCCTGTACTATGATTAAGGCTATTCTTTACAGACTACCCTCAGTTTGTATTTTAAGAATTCTTATCGAAAATGAAAACAAAAAAGCGATTCCGATAGCAACGCTCTAATACGCCATTTAGGGAGAAGACCGGTTTCATGTCTTGACCCTCTTCACAGTTGTATAGGAATACACTACGATATTTTCCTTTTTCTTAATATTTTTCACATTTTATTGTCACAAATATTTTTTTTTTTTCAATCTTCATCACGCTTTCTTTTAGAACTATGTTCAATTTAGTTTCCTAGAGTATTCAAAAGTTTTTAATCTTTTTGAAAATCAAGAAACTGACGTGACTTCCTACTCCTATGACTCTCCACACGCTAATGGTGAAACCATGCGAAGTGTTGGCATAGGTAAAGAGTTCTGCTCTACGCCACCTATAGCCCATTTCGATCGCCAATACACAACGGTGGTAGCAGATTAACATTCATGCTAGGAGAAAACTAAAACGCTATTGAAATTTGAAACACTTTCAAATTTCAACCTCCAAAAAATTTTTGTTTAAAATACAGTTATAATAAAATTTAAGTGGATGTCGTCGCCAAGATGTGATACTCGATATCAAGGATCTCGGAGTTAAACTAAACTTGATGTCAAACCCTAGTTTTGATCTCTCTTTTTGGTGGCACAAAGTAAAGTTTTCCCTCATATTAGTCTAAGGTTAAGTAATGAATAGCAGGGAAATTTCAAATGATTTTGACCAACGCTAGGAATCGAGAAGCAAAATTAAGAGAATAGATTAATGATTAAGTAATTATTAAATCAGCATGGAAGGAGATAAGCAATTAAGGAGATAAGTAATTAAGTAAAATTATAAACAATACATGTGGCATCAATCACCAACCAATATTTGAGCACTTTTGGGTACTCGAGTTCAATACATAGTAAGTGAGTTCACCATTAGTAAATATCTTTAGCAAGATGTCTTCCACATTCGTTTAGTTTTTCAGGAATAGTTTTATGAATTATTTTAAACTACTTTATAAAACATTTCAAAATGTAAGAATGTACTTATATGAAGATCAAGAGGGAAGAAAGGTTTTTCTCCAGTTTAGACAAAAATGACGATAGGATAACCATCTGTTACATTTTAAGAATCACTAAGTCTTGACGAATCAATAACATGGTTCTCCCCGAGAGTTATTACACAGTGAAGACGGTCCGTGCTTGAAGTTGATGCCCTCCTTGAAATTCGTTTTTTTTTTCAGATTCAGCTTTCATGAACATAAACCGTTCACCCCCACCTTGATTTCATGTGTTTTTTTTTATGTATGTATTTGTAATTAAACAATCTGCATAGAAATGCATGATTTAAATTAACGTAACAGTGTAACAGAAGGTATTGCTCTATTTTTTAGACTTAAGCTTGAGAAAGAAAAGAAAAAAGCTCACACTGTTCAAGAAGAGGTTGATAAATTGGTAATTTTTACTTCTTACTTAAAAACTCATAGAAATATCTTGAAAAACTTTAGACATTAAAAAGTTTTACTAATAAACCAACATCCTACATTATATCTTGAAAGTGATTCTTACATTTATTTTATTTCATAATTGGCGTTGAACAACCAACCCATTTTTGAGTTTGCGGCTATCAAAGTTCTAATCCGTAACCTTGCAATTTTGAACCCAACTCAGAAGACAAGGAAACTCTAGGAACAAGCATTGGTAGAGCCTTCATGGAGGACTTCCTGATAAAACATGCCCGCAATTGAGCAATTTTTAAATCTTGTAAATAAGAATCATAATGTACGATGTTTAAATAGCGTAAATAAGAATCGCAATGTGCAACTTTTAAATCAGGTAAATACGAAAATCGATGATAGACATTTGCCAAGGGCCAGTGATATTCAAAAAAAATGTTTAATGATTATAAAATTTATTGCTTAAAAATTAATTCCTGGAATTAAAAATTCGGAAATTTTGTTTATTTCAATAATGTAGACAGATGCAGCACCCAGATATGTCTTCTGAAAGCAGTAGACTTCAGATTTCTATTAAATAATTCATAACAGGGTGGAAATCCAGAATCAAAATCCTAAAATTAAAAAATATGATATATTGAAACATTTTTTACATGATTATTGAAGCAGAGATCCTAAATCTAAAACTTCTCACTTTTAAAGTCTCTTGCCTTATATAAGTGATTAAAATTTTAAAAAAACTATCTAAAATTTTAAAACAAAACTAAACATATCTGTATAATATAAAATCATAAGGGGTTTCGCTGCTTTGAAAACTATTCATTTAATTTCCTATCCGCGCTTTTGAGATAAAAAATAATTGAATAAAATTAAAGGTAATGAATATACTTAGCATATTTTTATATTTTTTGATGTTTCTACTTTAGGATTTTTTTTAAAGAAATTTAAGTTGATCTTTTTAAGCAAAAAACATTGAAATGCCATTTTTTTTAATCTATTAAACCATATTTTTGAAGGAAACTCTTATTAACAAGGCCAGACAAAGATAAAATATTGCAAATATTAAATTGCTTCATATCGACAAGACAGCCACCAATTGACGATAGCATTTCTCCTCCTGGCTCGCCCGATCACAATGCTGATGTAAAATATTCTCAGTGGTAAGTAGATCTCAGGTTAGAGTTCCTCAGCTGTCAGAATAACAGTGGAACTTTCTCGTGGTCTTCCTCCACAAAGGCTTATTTATCCCAATGCTTAAAGAAGAAAGTCCCTTATTTTCTAGATTGGATTAAAAATTACAAGGCTACGGAGTTGGACATTGCTAGTCGTAAACCAAAAAAAGAGTCGGCTGTTATAAAACTTCATACGAGTAGATATTCTCTCTGTACTGCAACTTTCTAATCAATACTCTTCCCCAAAAAGTATTTGAACTTCTCAATAATAAAACACCTTTGTAAGCTTTTTTTGAGCAGCATAAGGGCAATGCTAACAATAGGGTATCACAAATGGAGTTAGTTCACATCTTTATTCTGCTGTATCCCTGAACCAATTAATACCCAAGAGAATTTTGAACCGATTCCCTATGGTATTCTCATTTTGTCCAACAAATTCAGTTTTCAGAATACATCAACAAAGAAAAAAAAATAATGAACAACACAAAAGGATAGGCAGCCAGTTCTTTTAATTACCAAATTATTTCTAGTATGTTTACTTTGGAAAGCTAATAAATAATGCAATTGCACAAAATATCTCTTATGCGTAATTCTTGCAGAAAAATAATTTGTCCTTAAAACATCCCTTCTTTAATGAATCAGAATGAAAATTCTTTTTCTTTCAATAACACCAATTTCAAAAACCTTTATATTTTAATAAAAATAAGCATATTTTTAAATTACCTCGCATATATATTATTTCACCTTTATATGCTTGTTAATCATTATCACGAAATTTTGGAACTAAACGATTAATTTCTGAGCAAAACTAATATTTAGATTTAATGTTATTCAATAAGTTCATCTTATTACAGTAGTTTGAGCAAATTTTGTATGGGTATAGATAGTACTTTTAGAGTTCTATGATGTTAGTAATATGCTAACAGTTCCGACAACAAAAAAATTTGATACATTGTCAAGAATAAATTCTTCATAAAGTATAAGTAACTTCAATCTTTAAAAAATTGAGTCTGAAATTATTACTATTGTATTTTGAATTCTTCATTGTATTCTGAATTTTAATTCCATTTGCATGAATCATTTTACTCATCTACATCTATTAAAACCAAATTATTTATACTCACAAACAGAATGTAACTATTTTTTAGGCTGAAGTATTGATGAACATTCGCAACAATATTACGAGTCACAATGTTTCTGGAGATGATGTCCTGTCACTTTTTGACTCTGTCTCAATACCAAGCATATCCTCTGACTGAATAGATTGATTGATAATGTAAAACATTTAAATATAATATTTTTTAAAATTTAAGAAACTAAAATTTACTAAAAAGAGAAAATAACTCAGTACTAAAAGTAATATGCATTGAATTTTTTTTTTGGCAAAATTAATTTCGCTATTTATTTTTGTATTTTGGATATCAAATAAAATTTTCTTTAAAAAGTGTATTTAATTTCGTATTTGTCTCAAATCAACGATATCATAGAGTAAAAAAAAGGAAAAATTAGCAAACTGAATATACGAAAATAGTTAAAAGCATGGAAATTTAGAAAAAGAAAGACACAAATTAAAGAGAGTCAACAATAATTATAGTTTTAGTGCTTTTAAATGCTGAAATTAAGAATTGTATAATCAAATCATATCTGTTAACTGTTTGCAATTACAAATTATCATTGAATATTTTGAATTTTGTACGGAGATATCAAATGTATATTTAGAATTTTGTAGAGAAAAACCAAATATGTATTTAAAATTTTGTACAGAAAAGTTTTATGAATTATTTATTCTAAACTTTAGTTTTTAAAGCAATATACAAAGCTAGTCGGAAGCAAAATATCCAATGAGCAAGCAAAGCAACCAGAAAGAAATTTCAAAAGCAGTTCGAAGGGTTAGCGAGCAGGGATCAAGATCCTCTTAGTAATAAGTAAAAACTTAGATAGCTTTTGCTTATAAATACAAGTCAGTTTGAAAAAAGAAATTTATATTTTTTACTTTTAAAACAAATGTATGATAAAAATTTAATCAAGTAACAAAATTAATAATTTAAGATTAATTTCTAAAGTAATTCGAATAACTTAATTTTGTAAAACAAGTTTTAAAATAACATGCTAAGAGTTTATGTAATGATGATCAGTTTCCAACCAAGTCTCTTGAATAATTAACCCAAGTGATGAACACTGTTTTTAATACTGAGTTGATGTTGGTCGTTTCAACTGTATTACAAACTATATCTTACGAAAATAAACAAACCTGGAACTTCAATAAAGTACAGCTATGTATTAAGATGTCAGTGGAAAACAAAACATCTAGTTCAGTTTGTTATTTTTATTTATATATGTAAGGATACATGGTGAATGAATATATAAACGCTTTCAGGTGTGATTTTGTAAAGAATCTTTCAAATGACTTCATATTTAATATTAATTTACAAAATTGAAAGTGTGACTCGCTTTACTATGAGTTAAGTTCTTTCCAAACACTTTCAATTAAATATAAACTTTCGCAATGAATACTGGAAAATCAATAAAATCATCATTAAACATATAACCTCATTAGACATATGTTGTAGGAAGGCTTTGGGGCTTATTGGGCTGTCTGGCCAACTATGATGATGAGACATATGTTGTTGTCTAACCACAATCAGTTATAATTAGTGAATCGATTGCTTTAGTAATCTTATTGTTTAGTACTCTTAACTATGTTTAGTTTTATCTGTAATTCGAATTACCAATTGCGATTTAAAATCATTAAAAAAAAAAGAAATAAGAATAAGTATGTTATACTCGTGGAAGTAATGACTATTGTTTCTTTTAAAAAAAAAATTTTGAATTCATTTCTAAGTTTGCTTTTATAATTTCAGTTGTCTAAAATTAGATAAGAATTGTCTACGCGACACAGAATCTATATTAATTAAAACTATGGTAACATAATTTATAAAGGATCATTAAGGTATAGAACTTCTTTACTTTTTATCAGTATAAACAACATTATGGGCATTTTATCCATTATTGAACAGTTTGCATTTTGTTTTGAATATCTCTGCATCTTGTTTTGAATATCTTGAATGAAAATCTCTGCAAAAAATTTAACAATGCCATTCAAAAAATTAACAGAACATATTTTGCCCAGTCAATTGCATTTTGTTTGATAAGAAGACTATTTCCACTAAAAAAAAATAGTGCTGCTGAGAAAAGAAGCATAAAAACATATCAAAATTTAATTTAGATTTAGTAAATAGCAACAAAAAAAAGCTACATATAATATTCAATTTTGCCTCATCATATATACATATATATTTTCTTCATATGGTTCTATAAATCAAAAATATTAACGGAAAAAAATGTTTAAAAATCATTTTATTTCTTCCTTCACAATAAAACTACAAGTACATTAGAGAACCAAGTATTTTAAAACTATTTATAAAATATACACACACACAAGAAATTGATAATATAGCACTTAATAAGACATAAATGATACAATAGCTAAAAAAACAAAAAACACTTAAATGATCAAAACATTTGCAACATTATACAAAATATAGTAATTAATAGTTTAAAAATTGTATAAAATGCATCGTAAATTATATACATTTCAATCCTTATTTCTGACTTTCAATCTTTTATTAGTTTCAAACTGCGGCGACTTTGGTTCCGTTAACTGCTTTTCACTGTGTTTGATTTCCACAACTTTATATTGTCGTACAGGGTTAGCTTTATGAACAAGCTCTTGCCTCAATCTAAGGATTTCTTTGCGTTCTTTCTCTTCTTCTAATGCTTGACGAGCAAGGCGTATCTTCTCATTCTCTTGTTCTTCGGCTTCTTTTTGGATCTGCAACTTCAATCTTTCAGATGCTCGTCTACCTGTACTCAACTCAAATTCCTTAAACTCTGCAAAAAATGACAGGGAAATTAGAATAAATTGAACAGATTAAATGTTAGAAACACAATGTTTTAAAATAACTAAGTACAAATTATTATACAAAAATAAAACTATAAAAATATGAAAGAATTAGCAAAACTCAAAAAATATCAGTTTATCCAATAAGTAAAATCATAGAGGCTACTAGCAAGCAGAATAAAAAAATACTTAGTTTAAAAATGCATATAAAAGAAACACAAGCATAAGAAAATAGTAACATAGTACTTTATAAAATGATACAAGACATTAAAGAGTATGATACGATAGCTTAAAAAAAAAAGAGAGAAAGAAAATACTTGAAGGTTTAAAACTTATACCTACATGTATCATCCCTTGCAATGTGAGATTAAGGGAATTCAATTTTTCAAAAATATTGCATAAATATGCTATTAAAAAATCTTCATCAACAAAGCATTCAACATCTTTATGATCTAACTTAAAAATATACAAATTTTCTTCTACAATTGGAAGGGTATATTTACAGAGATGCCAACTTGCTCCGGAAAGCTGATAAATATTTTCGAGTCTAGGTAGTCTTTTAATGTATGATTCTTGGTTCAATAAATTCAATTTATAGGGTTTTTACATACCCCTACTTCTAAATAAGCCCCTTTGTCGCAGTTAAGCCGAGCTGAGCATTTAAAAAAGTCAGCAAAATTAACCAAAAATTAACCTACCGCTTTTTATAATATTCTGTCTTGTCCAAAGTAGTTGGTATCTCAGTTTTTAGATTCTGTTTGAGTTTTCTGTTCCACTCGTTTCAAGTTTAGTAGTTTGAAATTTTCTTTATATTCAGTTTTGTTTTCATATTCTTATCAAACATTTCCAAAGTCATCAGTTTTTTGGATAAATCATTTGGAATTTTAAAATTGGACCACACATCAATGAAATGTTCTTTCATTTCCAAAGGGACATTGAAGTTGATCGGTAATCATCACAAAGTTGTTCAAATGTTCTAATCGTCTTATCCATTGGTTGAAATAATTACTTAGTTCGTATGAAAAATCAAGCCAACTCGACAGTTTTTTCTGATGCTTTGAGAAAAACAGTTTGATTTTCTCGGGTGTCATTTCATTTGATTTTCTCGGGTGTCTCGGGTGTCATAAACTAGAGTTCTTTTAATTTACTGAAATCATCTGTGGTTTCTTCTTTAATTCTCCTACTTGTTTCTCCAATAATATCAAGAATAAATTATGCCATTCCCTTTCAAATCAGACTTTTGCAGAATAGTATGAAGTTCCAATTTCGGTTTAATCAGATCATTTTCTTCAGTATTGCAATAAGAACGTGCCACAAGATATCACTTTATTTCAGGGTTCGCCAAGTGGGCCCACTTTGAAAAAACCCGCCCGGGTTTTATTGGGTGGGCCCACCTTGAAAAAACCCACTTGGAACGATAAGTGGGTTTTTTCAAAAAAAAATTTTTTTTTTACTAGAGCTTATTGTTTCACATTTATTTTTATATAATTTATTGTGCAGCATAAATTTGTCAAATAGAGTTGCATGATTTATATGATTAAGTTTTTAATATTAGTAAAGTAAAAGAAACTCAAATATTCATATAATTTTTATAGTAGGTGCTATTGAAAACTTCAAGTGGGTTTTTTCAAAAAAGTAATATTTTAATGATATTAAATCAAATAAAAATTTAAATAATATAGTCTGAAAAGATCAATTTTTCAACTATAGTTGCATGCTTTATATATTAATAAACAGGTAATATAATACATACAGGTAATATAATAATATAATATATTAAAAAAAATTGAAAAGAAACAATTTTTTTCTTTTTTTACCAAGTGATACATTAACAAATTTAAACAGTTTTATTTTCTAGCTTAAGAAAAAAAAAAGCTAAAACTTTTTATAGGAGAACTTTTTAAAATTATTTATCTAAAAATGAAATCCTTTTCTAGGGTTAATTATTTGAAAACAAATGGGACAAGTAACTGATACTCTTTATAATTATACGTAGTTTTAATTTCACTTTCTATTAATCTTATTATAGAAACATGTAAGACCATTAAATATTTATTTCAGTTTTTTATTTAACTCAAGTCAGATGAAATTTTAGTTTTTACTGATTATAAATATTTACAGATTATAATTTTATAATGGGTAATATCCATATGTTTAATAAATATAGTAAATAAATGTGTGTGAAAACAAAAAGATTAATAAACTTGTTCCTTTTATATTACTGCATTTATATTTTATAATTCTTGAGTTAAAAAATTATGAAACGTAATGTACTTAAAAATAAAGAAGATTCAAATATGTATTAGTGATAATGCGTTATTTAAACTTAATATAAAATACATATAACCAGGGTTCCCCAAGTGGGCCCACTTTGAAAAAACCCACTTGGTGGTTTTTTTCACAAATTTTTTTTTTTTTTAAATTTGGTTCAAAAAGAAGTATCTCCTAATACTATCATTGGACACATCGTTGAAGTTAACAAATATTTTAGAAATGTGCATCAAGCACATGGATGGGCAAATGAAAAAAACTGCTTGATGACCCAATGATACTAGGTGGAATTCATATTGTGAGCACGTAAAAACTTTTGCCAATAATTACCATAAATATGAAGAGATTGTTCTTGAACATCAAAATGAATCTAATAATAATATGTCAAAAATATTAAATAATGTTGGGCTTTACCAATAAACTATCAATTGGGAAAAACAGATATCAATTGTTTCTTAAGCTTTAAAAAAGCTTCAATCAGAAAACATTTCAATTTCAGAAGCTGTTGAAATATGAATTAACTTACTATCGTGTGATGAATTAGAACCCCATACACATTTTGTAAAAAGATTCAATCAGGCTGTTCAGCCACATCATTTATTAGCATATGCATCCTGGATCCCGAAACAAGGGGACAATTTTTAAATGATGAACAAGACCAATTAGCAGAAAGCTGTCTTTCTAAGCATCATCCAGAATTTCTGCCACGTGTTATGGCATCCAAAATTTCCGATCCTGAATACTTTCCAAAATCAATGATGCTTGACACTGTTATTGAACAGTTTTCATCAAAAAATAGTGGAAAATTATGGCAAAAAAAATAAATAAATAAGTAAATAAATAAAATTCCTAGCTTCCACAAAATTTCTGTCAATTCTTTTTTCTTTGCACTCAGCACCAGCATCCTCTGTCTCTATCGAAAGACACTTTTCAACTTTCGGTTTGGTGCAGAGTAAACTTCGAAATAGATTAGGAATAGATAAAGCTACAAAACTCGTAAAAGTGTATCACCATCTAAGAGAGAAATGTAGACACTTTGAATCTGTTGTATGATAATAATAATAAAGGAAAAAATGGACCTTTTTTTTTAAGTTAACTCTTAACATCTGCTGACAATTTTTAACTATTTGGAGAAAGTTTATCACAATTAAAAAACAGTTAAAAATTAAAATATTACTTTTAAGATTTTTTAAATATTATTTTTAAGATTTCATTTGAATACAATTTATTTTGTTTCTTTTAATCATGTTTAAAAATATTGAAAGCAAACAAAAAAAATTTCTATTAAGTGATACATTAAACAACAATAAACAAATTTAAAGTTTTATTTTCTGATTTTAAAAAAATAAGCTATAACTTTTTATATATGCTTTTTTATAATTTTAAGATTAATTTGTCTTTTGAAACTATAAAGTTAAAATGTATCTAAAAATGCATATATTTATCTAAATATTTGAAAAAAGGGACAAGTAACTGATACTCTTTATAATTATACGTAATTTTAATTTCACTTTCTATTAATCGTATTATAAAAACATGGAAGACCATTAAATATTTATTCCAGTTTAATTTTATTACAGGTAAAAGTCAGATGAAATTTTAGTGTTTACTTATACAACACTATTTAATAAATAAAAATATTTTCACAGTAAAATTTATGAGCACTAAATGAAAAAACCCAATTTTCCCCGGGTTTTTTCAAATAAAACCCAATTTTCCCCAGGTTTTTTCATTTTCCAGGTTTAACATTTTATTTTCTGTTTTTTGCTTGATATATTAGTTTGTTTTTTCGTATATATTTTTTACTTAATGTGTTTTAACTTTGTTTCAATTTTTTTAGTGCTCCTCACACTATTGTATTGATGCATTTTGCTTTGGCTATATTAATACAATATTAGAAAGCACTCCTTTTTGCGGATATAATCGTGTGGGCTGATGAAGAGATTATATCTTTTCTTTGTTTTGTTTTCCGGATTTTTAATTTTCTTTTTCGATAATCAAAAATTATATATTTTTAAATACTTTTGAAAAATATTTTTAATAATTTTCTTTTCGTCATTATTTTTTTTATTATTTTCCATACTTTAGCTTATACATACATATATATTACACACACACACATTCATACTAATAGTTTAACAGATATAATTTAGTTTAAGTTTTACAAATATGAATCAGCAATAAAATAAGAAAGACAAACCTTATCTGCTTATCTTAATTACAAAAAATTTTTGCATCCAACTGAAGATATTACTCAAAATAAAATCATCCATCTATTCATTATGAATATTTCAATAATTGGTGATATAACTAATGATATCACAGATTTTTACAATTATACAGTGAATAAATATCATCATCAAATACAGTAAAAAATGTAACTAATTAATGAACTGATCACAACAAAAAAATATCATACCTGCTGTATGTTTATGTTCTTTTTCTGGGACAAAAGGCTCCTTTTTCAATACTGTTGCTGGATTGGCCTTAAAAGATATGCTATTTTCTTTGAAGCTACAGCTCGTCTAAAAAATATATATATAAAATTGAGGGAGAATTCGTCAGTTATTTGAAGATTACAGACGGCACTTCAAACTAAATATTAAATTTCAGAACTTCAAATTGCAACTCAGTATTGAACTCGCAACACCCAACCATGTAGCCCACTTTTTAGGATTTTATCTTGAAATAGTATTTTCAGCAATGCCCAGTAATTTTCACCTTGGTTAAACAACATAGACAGCACCTGAACTGCTACTCTTATATCTCACAACTATGAGTCCACATAATCCTTATTTTGATCACACCTCTAATTCAGAACATATTCATATTTTCAATAGTTTATCTTTTAATTGCAAAGGTAGGAATGCCACAAAAGTTTGACCCTGATCATATAACATGTGCAGCAACCAAGTCACAACTCAACTCCTTTCTCAAAACTTCCTAACTGCCAATGAGAATTGCTACTAAAAATAATAATATATATTTACGAAAATCTTAAAGCTTTTCTGTAATAGAAACTTCATGACAGATACTAACTTAAGTAGCACATGAAGGAAAAGTTCTTAAAATTAAAAATAATATTACCACTTGGAGATATTATAAAGAAGCTGAGTTAAAAGCTTTAATTAATATTTTTTTTATTTCTTTTTTAATTTTAATTTGCCATCTAATAGTAATTACATTAATTTACACATAAAAAGCTTTGAGTTTTCACACTACAATTTTTATGTGTTAAATTTATACAAAAATTATAAAAATAAAATTGATGAAAAAACTAGTAAAATTAAATTTATGAAAGAATTAGTAATATCATTACTTTTATTATATAAATAAAATTTCATTAGCTGATAAATTGCTCAATCTTTATTGCATTTTTATGAACATTTTAAAATGAACTTCAAAATACACATTAAATTTCATGCAAATCTGTAAATCCTGGTTTATAAATTACAATTTTGGAAGATAATTTCATATGAAATCATTAAAAAAAAAAGGATTAAAAAAGAAGTGCACCTTTCGTAATAAATAACTAAATAGCACAACAGCATTTATTATAGTATTCTTCATCTAGTTTGGCACCACTGTAGTAAATTTGAATTAATTCGAGCTAAGGTAGTCAGAACAACTGGTCTATTTATAAATCAGCATTGTTATTAATGAGCATTAAAGGATTCAGTAAAATACACTATACGAGAAAAAAAATAGCTGTTAATAACTTACATCACGAGTTAAATTACGAGTATCCAAGACAAAGTTGAATGGCTGTGGTTCTGTTGCTGGCTTTTTCTGTACTTTTGGTAACCCTGAAACATTTGGATCTGGCAAAAGTTGAGCTTTAAAAATATAAGGCTGAAAAGAGAGATGGATTTGAGAATAAAGAAAAAATGAAAACTAATTTATTTCTTTTCATTTTTTTTTCTTTTTGTAATTTGAGTACAAAAAGTATCAGGTTAACAACATTAACTGAGAAGAGTTTAGTTCTATGACCCCTGTTTCAGTTTTTTTCCTTAAACATGACAGCGATCAAATCTAATAATGATGTGACAGAATGATTAAATCGTAGCCTGATGGTTCGGCAATGCTTTTTTATTTATGCATATGATATAGTTTCCTTGAACAAGAAAACAAAAATTAATGCTGACCATAGTGAATTGTGATTTTTTTAAAAACAGAATCGATATAAAGCCAAATTGGAATATACAACAAACAAAAAAATCAAGGTTGTGCATTAGGTATCAATAACCAAATCATCCCAAATTTCTTCTAAACAGACCCCTGCATATGTCATGGACCCAGAAAGCCCCCCTTTTTTCTCCAGTAGCTTTCTTCTGACAAAGATTGCGCATTTATAACATTAATCTTTACTTAACAAACTTTTATTAAATGAAATCTTAGACAAAATTTGAAATCTTAACAAAATAATTACAAATAAATTAATAGAAAATAACAATTAAAGATTTTAAAAGCTTTGCATGCATCCAAATTTAATAATCAAGGTTACCTTGTTTTCTTTTTCTATTTCTTCCCGTATTTTCTTATCTTTTAAAGTAAATCTTTTCTTGTCTGCATCATCAAAACTAAAAGGCTTTATCTGAGTGGGAACAGGTCGAACTAATTTCGGTTTTTGCTTGCTCTTTTTAGTTCGGTTTTCCTTAGGCTTACTTGATTCAGTAATTTTTCCTTTTTTGGCACTAGTTTTGTCATCCTGCAAAAGAGATGTTAAGGCTCACTTATACATGTGTCACTTTGAAGGGGAAAAGAGTTACAAATTTATCTTCAAGTATAGATTCCTCTTACATCAATTACAATGTAAGAGAAAAAAATGGAAAGAGGATGTAATGGAACTATTTATTCTAAGCATTGTTGGCTCTAGAGATAGGCATTAAAAAAAAATTGCAAATAAGTAAAGGCTTCTTAGGACAGGTCGGAGTTACAAAACATCAGCTTGAAGCAAGCGCTAACCCCTGATTGGTCAATTTATGAGTTAGACAGCATGTGTCATCGAATGCTCAGCTTGAACAACGACTGACGTCTAAATCAACTGCAGCTGGATTACAATGTAACGTCGACGACAGAAGCAGTAGCGGACAGCATCCAACAGATACAGAGCATTGAAATCAGCCAAGATTTTGATTTTAAAATTAAATATAACTACTTCCTCTTTTTCTTCATTTAACTAAGCTATAATGTGTTTTTTCTTGGATAAAGTCATTATTTGTTCTCTAGAGCACTGGTCGACAATAACAAAATCAATTCAAATTCAAAATAAATATTTGTTTACGTTATTAACACATGCGTAATGCAAGATAATGTCTGCATTTGGCCGACTGCTCACGCTGAGCTAACAAAACAGTATTTTATTGACGCCAGTGGTACGTCAACTTCCCACTGAGACCCAGAGAAGGCGTTTGTCTTAAGAAACCAGGTCTTAATAGTCACAAGATGAAGTTTCACATAAAAATAAAAACAGAACATACCTGTTCCTCTAATAACTTTCGTTTTTCAACTCTTTTTCTAGTGCAGAATGCAGGTGAAATAGGCTCTGTTATTTTAATTTCTGGTTTTTCACCTAAACCCTATAAGTATAATATTTTATTTTTTTTATTTTATTAGAAGAAACAAAATTTAGTAAGAAATGTCAAAAAAAAATTTAGAACTTTATATCTATAGGTTTGGTTTTTGAATAAGTACTTTTAATATGCCAAATTACTATTAGTATGATTAGAAACTGTATAAACAATAATAAAAATATATAAATAAATAAGAACAAGTCAATTAAATTTACAAAACTTGGTTAAAACTAAGCAGAATATATAAAAAAAATTAATAACCCTTAAAACTAAAAAATTGAGAAGTCTCAAGAATATCAAAATAACAAACAGAAATAATTAAAATAATGCAATGAATAAATTTAAAATTCAATCAACCAAAAACAAAGCCTACGTACAAAAATGAATATAATTGATATTATTAATTCATTATAATGAAACAAAGGAATCATGTAACAATCAAGGTCACAAAATCATGTAACAAAAAAAAAAAAAAAAAGACTTACTGTAGGACCAAGAAGTATACTCTTTGGAACAGGACGAGCTTTGAATTCATATGATGTGTTAGACTCTTTATAGATTGATTGATCAACAGCAGCAGCTCTTTGAGAAGTTTTCAGATCAAAATTCATTGGCTTAGTGGATTTTTTCTCTTTCTCCTTCACAATGATATCTGGTTTATATACTCTGGGATCAATTGGATGTGCATGAAACTCATACCTATATTTAAATGTAAAAAAACAAGAAAATTAATTACTATGAATTTATAAGAAAGAATATAAACTTAAATTATTTATAATCCTTATAAAAAGAAAAGAAACATAGAATTTTTATTAAATACGAAACTTGACAGAAACAAGCTTTCGTATATTTCTTAGTGATGATAGTTGACAACTTCATATACTAATGTTAAAAGACTTAAAACTTCTTTGACCCACCCTAATATATTGAAAAGCACTTTTTGGTGTTGACTTCTAGCCTTCTCCATAGTAAAATAAAAACAAAGTATCTGCAAGCTCATAATATTTTTAATAAAATAATTTTATTAAATACACCAAAACAGTTAACTATTTAATATTTTTATTTATTCTTGACAAAAAAATTACATTAAAAGATTTTCTACTGTCATCGCAATAGTCAATTTTTGAGGTGATAGTCAGGTCAAGTTCAGATCGTCTTTGTTCTAAAGTGGCAGTTATATCTTTTCTCTTTGGAAGCAGCATGCATAAAACCGAACACTGGCTATCTCCTACCTTGCATAAATCATGATTACACTATCTGCTTAGTATTTTCTTTTATCCTCACTGCAACCTTTTTTTTATGTGATGTATATGCACACACCAATGTATATGCACACAGCGTCTATGTTAACTATGTACATGGGCACCAGCAAATATTACATACTCTATGATTTAATGACTAGCACCTCCTAATATGTAAGCAAGGCTAAACGAAATCTAACATATGTCTGTTAGGGCTGGTTATGTCATAAAGTCATATATTAGGATAATATATAAGTAGAGTGGATTAGATTTTTTTTTAAATCAATGACATTTAGGAAAAAATCTAGGAAATAATTGGAATATAAAAGCAAAACAAAAAATTTTTATGTATTCCAGAAAATGTTTACGCTTTAATTTCTTCAAGTTGTTTTTCCTCTTCTTGTTCTCTGCTTAAAGTATAAATAGTACGATGCCTCTTAACAGCTCGAAGATTTGGTGTCCTTGGTCTTAATTTCGGCGGTGACCAATGCTTCTGTGGCTGAAATTCTAAAACAAAAATTCATTCATAAATAATCACATTTTCCATCTGTAGATATATCATTTTATGGTCACACTAAAGTATTCAAATGAAATTATCAAAAAGTTTGAACTATTTTATTTCATTACATAATTGTATATTTCGTATGAGTCACTGTAGATTTTATTATTATATAATAAAAAATTAAAGATAAATAAAAAGAGGAAAGGTAAAGATTTTGTGTGATTGAATTTTTCTTAAATTATGTGACAATTCTAAAAACTCCTTTTTAAAAGGGAATATTTAAATAAAAATAAATCTGCTAATGCAGTTTATTATAAGAGTTATTTATTACTAAATCACTATTAAAATTTTAGTTTAAATAGATCAATGCATTGTAAATTGGCTCTATGGCAGAATCTTTTTGGGCTTTCTGCAACAAACCTCTCTAGCACTATCTTTCTGCGAAAATACTTTTAATAATAACAAATATACATGTTACTAATTTAAAGTAACATAAAAAAAAACTATTTGGATAAAACAAATTGTATGCAATTTTTTCTTCAAATAAATGTGATTTTTTTTTTTTTACTCTAATATCATGGGCATTATTCTCACATTTTGTAGGAGGAAAACACACTAATTATTTCCTCTTTAGCATTTTGTAAATCATCGTCACATTAAAAGCAAATAATTTATTTGAATTTCTACTATAATTAAATTGTGTAAATAACATCGGGACTTATTTTTTAAAAAGTCGTATCAATAACTGTCAAAAGAACGATTGAAATACCACATTCATTAACAAGAATACTGAGGCAAAACGAGCGTGCCAAAGAATAATTTCTCGAATTCGTGGTTTGAGTTTAGAGTTCAATAATTTTCTAAATATATTTCAAAAATTTGCAAACATATAAATAATAACTGAGCAATACGAAACTTCAGGATTTCGAAGATACGAAGCAAATATTTGAGTCAATAATTACTAAAAAAAAATCAAACAATACATATATTTACAATGGAATCGGCATGAGTTGTGGGCAAAAAGGCGAAAACACAAATGCGTGATTTAAAATTTTCATGTGCATCATTTTTGTTAAAAAATATTGAGACCCATCGGTTCCATTTCAACCAATTTTTTCTAAAAAAAGGTCATTATTTTGTTATAAATCGGAATTTGAAACAAAATACTCAGTGTGAAATTTTATTAAAATGTAATATATATATGAATGAAAGATAAAAATCAATGTTGGAAAAATATATACATATGAATGAATGTTTGAAAAAATACGAGCGATTAATTCTCACTTGGGCCGGATCACGCTATTGGGCGAAAATGACATTACTGTTTGGGGAAGGGATATACTGTGTATTCTATTTACACATGGTATTAATGTTGAGTAATAAAGACAATATTCACATTTTGCACAGTTTTGTGGAAATTTTTTATTAGAATCTAAGTAAGTGAAATTAAGCTATACTGCTTTTACGTCATTAGCAACTGGGGCTGTTCTAGAAATGCAGGGGGGGGGGGGGGAAGAGTAGCCCAGAATTTTGGTCATTACTTCAAACTAAATTTACGTGCTGCTTGATTATGAAGTTCTTAAAATTATTCATAACACAACTAAATTGCGATGTATGATTAAATTTGAGCTTATGTTTATTTCAATTTTTGTTACTTCATAACTGCAAAAGATAATTCCTATGGAAAAACAAACAAACGAGAGAAAAAAACGTATTTGTAATATTACTATACCATCTTATATTTGTAAAAACACTTTCATTATTTTTATTGTTTTTAGCTTAGACCAGGGTTGGCAGGTTTTTGACATGCGACAGTTTTTGACAGTTTAAACCATGGTTTAAACCGTCACGTCAAAAACCTCACTGTCAAAAATGTCGAAAATGTCAAAAACCTATATTCATATGTGAAATTTAATTAATACATAAAATTTATATATTTTTTATAAAGGATAGTGTTTCTAAATATGTTCTAGAAAAAATAAATTTAAAATTTTGAAGAAACACTTATATTTTGAATAGTAACCAAAATCTTGTACTTTTGAAAGCTCACATCTTTTGTAATATTATGTATTCATTTTCATGTGTTATTGAAAATCTGCAGTGATATTATTAAGAAATTTATTTATAACCAAATTTAGTGTATAGTATAGATTATACTAAAAATTAGACATTTTTAAAGATAAACATTAGCAGTTTTGTACATTAGACATCTTTTAAAGAAAAATCTTTTTAATATTCTTTTAAATCTTCTTAATAATCTTTTTAACATAAGACAATACAAATTTAAGTGCTTTCTGTTAAATACACAGAGTAGTTAGTGTCGATTTACAGTATATTCAGCCTATTCATTTACTATGCTGAAAATTTAGTTTATCCAAATACTTGTGAATTTCATTTTGCTGAATACTATATAGTTTTGTTGAATATCTAAATATTCAGCTGTTGAATAATTACTTCTTGCTTTCAAGATATGCATTATTTGTATTCTTAATACAAGTGGAGAAAAAAAAATTAAGAGATAAAAATTGTTTTAAAATGATAAGTGTAATAATTATAAATAAATATAATAAACAATATGAATTATATTTATCATTATTCACAAATATAACTACTTTTAAATTCAAATTAACATACTGGATAATAAAGATATTCGGTATAACATTAAAAAAAATTTTTTATACACTTGTATCTTATATCAAGTTTGTATTTATACAACATAACTTGTAAGTTCCTTATAAATATTAGTTATATGTTCCTTATATGTCAAAAATGCATAGTAATAAACTTTTAATTTTCTTAAGTATCAAAAAAAAAAATTTTTTTTTTAAAAATATAAATATTTAAAAATATTTTGTGCAAAATTTTTCTGCACATGCATTTGAATATAAATTTCTGAGATTTTAAATCTGTTATTTTACCTTAATTTTAATTAAAAAATATTTTAAAACCTGCTGATTACCTATAGTATAATTAAATTTCAATATAATGCATGGCAACTGTTGGTAGTTTTGAAGTTTATATATTTTCTTGGCAAACTTCAGTTTTTGACGTTTTCGACGGGTTTTTGACGGTTTAAACCAGTATTATACCCTTGTCATGTCAAAAACCACTTTTTGACGTCAAAAACCCAACCCTGGCTTAGACGAATTTAAATCAATTAAAACATAAATATTGTCTGAAATGCTGAAGTGGACATTTACCTATCTCCCCACCCTAACGACGACCGAGCGAGCAAGTGTGCATACGAAATTTGTCGCCAAACTCATAAAAACACCAGCCAACAGCCACCATCTCCCTTCCCCCAAACAGTGATGTCATTTTCGACCAATAGCGTGATCCGGCCCAAGTGAGAATTAATCACTCGTGAAAAAATATATATATATGAATGAAAGAACATGATTTCTAGAACGGAACTACCTTTTCATCTTTCACAATTTTAGGTTCCCCCCCCCCCTTATATTGAAATTTTAGCTGAAACCAGTTACTATCAAATTGTTTTATTCGTAAATAAGAATCAAAAAAACATGAGCATTTCTTTACCCTCTGATGCTCGTGAATGGAATCTTTTGAAAAAGGTCTGTTATATAATAATCCTGGAGGGGAAAAAAATCTTTTGAAAATCTCGATAGAAAAGAAAATCAAATTTGGGATGAAACAAGTCGTGATTAGACCGAATATTCGGTCAAATAGCAACATTTCCTTCTTTTTTTTTTTAAATCATAAATGAATTATTTTTTTTTTATCCAGAAATTAGTTTTAGTCCTTATTGAAATATGAACAAAAATTTGCTGTATTAATGGCATGGGATAAAGGAAAAAAAATTCCTATTTGTAAGGTATGACTCCTTTACAATAATATCTTACTAATTATAAATTTTAAACTTTTTTAGTATTCTAATTTTTTCTTATCACAAAAAAATATTTTCATATTTAATGAAGAAAAGCGTGTTCTGGCCTCTCAGATCAGGTGCATGCAATATAGGATGGCCTTTGCGGGTTAATAATTCCTAAGGATGCTAGAAAGACAAATACTTTAAGAACCCAAAGTCTCTAAGAAAAATTACAATGCAAAAAGGAAAAATTCATTCTTAAAAAGAGCTTTAGAGTATGTTTTAGAAGAACTATAAAAAGATTTGAGGAATGTAATGAAACTTGAAACTGTCTTATTTTTGGTCTATTTTATTTACTGTGAAAAAGTATCATCTTAAAAAGAAGGCACTGCCACCAATTCTTGTTATTTTTGGTCTTTCTATTTATTATGTCTTAATCCTTAATTACTTTCAGCATAGGGTATTTTACTATATAATAATTATAAGGAACCTAATAAGGAGAATAATCTCAAGGATCTCAGAATACTATTACTTAAGTTTTGTTCTTGACTAATTTTGAGGGGAAAAATTAAAAATGTAACATAGGTCAAAAATTAGCAGATATGGCTATTTAATTATTAAATTTAAAACAAGTAAATTCTTTTTATAAGTGAAAGTCACATTGGAACACACACACATCAGTAACGAAATCTTAACTTCCCCTAGTGTTGAGTAATATCAAAGCACAATAATTAACCGCACCTTTGTTTGCTGAAGAATGGTAACGTTCTGGAGTTTTCTGGAATTTCCTAATTTGCTCTGCAAGGGGTACATAAGATCCTTCTTCTTTTTTGCTTTTACTCTCTGTTAAATTGAAAGCCTTAACTTTGGTAACACCACAAGTCTAATGAAAAGAAATTATTTTAATGTAATTATTTAAACCACAAAAAAACTATATTAATAGTTACAAATTAAAATATTTTATAACAACTATATTAGACAAGAAACATTTTTGCCTTTTCTTACTCACTTTTTTTTTAAATAAAAAATACTTTATATTTTTAAAATCCATAAATTGCTTACTTAAATGATCAATTTGTAAGGTTGACGTCTAAGATTTTACAAAGTGTCAGTGAAAATAATGAATATAATAGATAGAATTTTCTGAAAAACTGTTACGCTAAAATCGTAGCAGCTGAACTAATACAACTTAGATAAATGTAACTGAATTATTAAATTATTCAACAAAAAAAAAAGAAAATACAGAGAAACTGCCAGGAAAGCGATCAGCTATTACAACCACTTTTACCATAGACTTTGTGTGGAAGACAAAAAGTATTAACAAAACAAATAAGTAGATTAAAATGTTTGCAAGAGATGAAATTTCTTTTTTTTTTTTTTTCAAATTAAAAAAAAAAATTTTTAATTTGGAGAAAAAACAGAAAAATTTATTAAAACAAGTTTTTATACTTAAAATAATTTTACTTAAATTTCATTTAAATATTTTTTTCTATTAATAAAAAGCTTAATTTATAAGGGTATCAAGAATTAAAACTAAAAAAAAAAAAAAGAAACAAGAATTAAAATTATATATGCGATTTTTCTCAGATATGTTATGTTAAATTCAATCCTATCCCAGGTAAATAGGAACCTACTATTATCCAGGCACTATAAATTGTTTCGTTTTTTTTCACACATTCAGCTTAGTTAAATACTATTTAAATTTGTTGCAATGAATATTTTTATTAAAAAAATTATAGTAAAAAAATGCAATTATGCTTGATAAAATTTTCATATATTGTATACAAATTTTCATAATTCATGTATTGGCAATTCCTGAGTGCAACAAATATCCAAAATATTTGGTTTCTCAACATGACATAGAATAATCTAAAATGATTTTTCAATATCATCAGCACATTTCTGAAAGGCAGGAATTTGGTATAGTTCCTTAATTAACAAATACATATAAATTATTTAATTACTCACTATTTAAAGATATTTATGTGTAATACTTATTTATCACCCTTTCTTAATATTATTCTCTTCTTCCTACTTACAATTATTATGTTTGATTATTATTTCAAATCAAAGCATTGAGAGCATTTAAGACTTCATTTCAACTAGACGGGTCTCATAACCTGTGTTGTTAGTTGTTCAGATAAAATGATCAAAAGATGCTGCTGGCCGAATTATTTGTATTGATTCTTTATATTATTTTTATTGATTCTTTAGTAGTAAAATAACTTAACAATATTTTTAGTTATGGATAACGCAAAAAATTACATGATTCAAAAACGGTGAAAAGTTGCTTTTTTATTTATTTATTTTTGCAATTTAAAGCACAAAGTTTTTTTTTTCCTACAAATTTAAAAAAAGTAATGTAAGGTTTGAAGAGATAGAAAGGGCATTTCAGGGCAAAAAATTACTGTCCACATCTAGTTACTCTAGTGTCTGTTTTGGGGAAAATGTACAAAATGTTTTATTCATAGAAGATTCATGAGGAATTAAAAATATGCCCGTATTGAGAGGTGTTCATTTTCCAGGAGTGTCCATAACAAGAGGTTTCTCTGTAGTTAATCATAAAACCAAATATAAATATAACTAAACATAAATTATGTTCAGTTATAAGAGTTACATAAGTCACTCTTATTTAAGAAATCTGCCAATTCAAGATAATTTACTTACGAAGATTAATTAACTGTTGTAAAATGAACGTTAACATTTTCATAATATGCTTGCAAGCATGAAAATTTTTTAAAACGTGTATGTAAAAGATACACTAAATAAATGAAGCAGGGTGATTTTTACCTTGCAAAAATGAGCGATTAAAGCCAGCAGAGGGGATTCAATATTTGGCTTATGTTTATTAGCGAAAGGACAGCATATATTTCCTAAGAAAATATATATTTTGCTCAAAGCAGTTTTTAATAAAGATGAAAAAGGCAAAATGTAACTTTTTAAAAGCATTTTTAGTGTTTTTGATATTTGATTTAAACTAAGAACTTCAAAATGTTTTATTTATAATGATAAGCCTTAACACCAAAAGTATTCACATCCATAGTTTCGTGAAATATAGGAAGATTTAAAAATATAAAAAAAATCAAAATGGAATAATAATTAATGAAAAAACTTAAAAAGTATTGTTTGAAGTAATACTAAAAAAATTTTAAAGGAAGTTTTCAACTTAAAACTATGAGATTGGTGATCAAAGATATGAAACAAACAATTCTATACTTATCTTAATCAAAACATGTTAGAAATTTCTATGTAAACATTACTAAGTGTTTAACAATTAAAACACATCTGAGAAAGACTCGTAATAAAAAATAAAAAATTTTGAATCACATAAAATTTACTCACTGCTGCATGAGATGCCTGAGTTGTTGCATGTTGCCTGAGTTGAGATGCAAAATCTTTTTCTTCTTTAACTGAAATGACAGCATCCTTGTTTTTCAATCTGTTATTAGTTTGAAAATGAAAGGGTTTTGGAATGGTAACATCCGTTTTCCTCTTTGATGCTCCACTCCTTGTAGTTCGAGTATGCACCGGAAACTCTTCCTCACTTGGCTCAACTAATGACCTGGGGTAAAAACGCTTCCATTTAGATAATCTTTAATGATATGATATCTAACATTAAGATAACAACATTGAATGTCAGCTCAAAGATTCAAAATATGGCCTAAAAATTTTATATTAGAAAGAGTAATCCTAATATATGCACACTTTTTAAAGGTCATAATGAACAATTATTTTTAATCACAAATAGTCTGATAAGTCGATTTTTAAGATATTATTTTATGAAGGGTCTATTTTAACCAGGGTTGGGTTTTTGACATGACAGTAGTAAGTGTTTTTACCGTTAAAAACCTACTGTTTTCTTTAATTTATGGCATATAGTGGACAATATATTATTTTCTCATAATTGCCTTTATAAATGAATGTTGTAAATGATTGCTATTGATTTTGCAACTATATACATGTATTCTTATAGAAGGATATACATTCATATAAAAATATTGTAATATACTTATTCAAAATAGTGATACAGTACAGAACCCGTTATCCGGAAATCAGAAAACCGGAAGACCAAAAAACCGGAACAAAATTCAAAAAATTTTCCTGCCATTTTTTAAAAAAATTTTTTTTTCCTCATAAGATTTTAGGATTTTTCTTTCTTTTTTGAAAGATGTTTACTTTACCATCATTTTGGAAATAATCATTAGTATATTATTTCATAGTTTTTTCTTCTTTTTAAGATTATTTCCAAATATATATTTTTTTAGTTGGTTTTAACAATAAAAAAACGGCTTGTTGTAGCGATTCAGAAAACCGGAAAAATCAGTTATCCGGAATAGCGATGGTCCCGATCGTTCCGGATAATCGGTTCCCTACTGTACTTACTTTTATCATTATAGCTTGATTTGCAAAAGAGTAAAAATTTTGCACTTCTTAATTGTTAGAAATAAACAAACAAAAAAGCTTGGAACTATTAATAAATTCAAGAACTAAAAAGAAGAATTTAAAATTTGGCATTTCTTAAATATTAGAAATAAGCGAAGCAAAACTTGTAACTACTAACAAACTCTAAGTCAAGAATGACTTGACATTCTTCAGTAATGTAATATGCCAAACAAAATTATGCTTGGAAATGTTGAAAATTTTGTTTAGTATCCTAATATTTTACTTCACATAGTGTGTTTTGATATAATCATGTTGGGAAAATTCAAGAATATGTTCTTAAATATCTTTTAACAACTTTTTTTCTAATTTTATTGCCTAAAAATGAATTAATTTTAAATTATAAACAGTTAAACTCAAATAAAAATAGAGTTTTACCAAAACTATGGGTTTTTGACATGACAGTAAAAACCACGGTATAAACCGGTAAAAACCGTCATGTGTCAAAAACTTGTCAACCCTGGTTTTAACAATAAAAAATTCTGTCTAGGGTCTGACAAGAGACCCGAATTTCTATTAAAATGACCAAATAGATAATCTGTAATGCTTAACTCTTACTCAACAAAACTCAATTTGTTTTACCCTAATCCTGAAGTGAAATTATTTTATTAATAATAATAAATCTACAAAAGCTTTTCAATTTAAATCTTTAAAAAATATCTTATCTCTACTGTGATAACAAAAAATTTTTTATAAATGATTTAGCACAAATGAAACCTAAAAGAAATATATAAACTTACGCTTCGTCTTCTGCAAGTGTCAAATCACCTTCTAATTCTCTGGAGAAAAAAATAAATAATAATTTTTCAAATTTTATTATATATTTTGGATATCATAAATATGCAAATAATTATAGTAGGAAAAAAAACTCAACTGATTCATTGATTCGGCTGACATGTCTGAATCACTTTGATCTGAAAAATAAAAATTTCTTTTAAGAACACTGCAAAAATAATTATAATAATAATGATAAGGATTATGACCAAAATACATGTTTTAAAAATGTTGAAAACATGAAATAAAAACACATTTCAGTATATGCAGTCAAACCTCAGTAATGTCAGCTAGAAGAAGGGACAGAAATTTTTCATGTTAAAAGTGGTTCACATTATCAATTCATAATTTTTTTTTTTAAATGAAAATCATGTAATACACAGACATTTTCCTACTTACCAAAAAATTGAATAGAGGTGTATTATTGCTGTAGTTTGTTATGCATATGTGTTTTTTTTTTTTTTTTAATTTTGCAAATTGGTGAAACAAAAAACACTTATCTTTCAATCAAAAATAAACATAGTACAAGCATACTTCAGTAATATATACTGTTCAATTTTAAACCAAATCCAATGAATGCTTTTAGAATGATGATTTATGTAAAGTGAATGTTTGTTTAAAGTACTGAAATCTAATTGTAATATTTTCTATGAAAATGGAGTCTATGTAAACACTATTTTTCATTTCAACAGTTAATTTTCAAAGGAAAGAATTGGATGCAACTATTTGTTTATTTGAAAATTACATATTTAGCACAATTTAAAAATTCAAATAAAATGCTTAAATTATTAACCTATACAGCATCATGCAGTGTTACCTACCCCTAAGAGTTTTTAGAAGTGTGGACTACCCTGCCTGCCTTTTTACGGAGGTAAACTTATCCTCCTAGCCTTTTTTACAAAAATGTTATCCCCCTCCCCCTTTTTTTTAAAAAAAATTATCATCTTTTATTTTAAGGAGAGAGATTGTAGTAGCAGAAACCAGGAACTTCAGATTGCCTTAACTACTGCAAAATTATTTTTAGGTTAAGTTAATATGCAAAAAATATTATACTGTTCTGTAGGGCACTAATCAAGCTAAACATAATCAGGGGTCTGTCTAGGTTTTTCTGAGAGGTACCTATTTTGTGAAAATTTAGACATAATTTGTGAAAAATAAAAATTATATTAAAAAAATCAACACAAAAACATAGTAAAAATATAGATTTATCGTTTCTTAAAGATACAAAAATAAAATTTTAAGATTAAAGTATTTAGTGAAACAACCGTTTTTCTTAAAGTTGAATTTGTGAAACTACCGTTTTTCCTAAAATTGAATTTGTGAAGGTACCTCTAAACGGTAGTAAATTCGGCCTGGACAGAACCCTGATAATTCATATAACTTGCAAGATTAGTGCCTTTCAAAATTGGAGGAGATCTTGTTTTGGTTTTGAAAAAACTCTATACCCTTTTTTATTTCAGGGGATCGCCACATTATGGAGAATATTCGATCAAATCTAGTGCAATTGAAAGCATTACAAAGAAAGTACACTATTCATATTTTATTAAAGAATAAACTTTACGAATCTTTCAAAAGCTTAGAAATTTTCTCTTGAGTCCTTCTTATTCTAGAAAAGATACATTTCATTTCAGAATATTTAAATGAAATTATACTTTAGCTAACTTCACTTCCATTTTTGTGACATCTTAAGAGTTTATTAGGACACTTCAGGACGGTAAAGTACTTTTCTCTTGTACAAGATTTTGTTTCATATGATTCCTCCTTATACTTGCGCATCAAACAGCAGGGGTGCGCAACCAATCACCCACTGATTGTTGATGAAAGGCCAGATTTTATTTTTTACACTTTCATTGTGAGAAGATTACATTACAAGTTAGAACTTATTTTAAAATGACTTTTTATGTGAAGTGATAGGACAAAAAGAAAAAACATTTCTTTTATGGTATTTTTATATTTTTGTATTAAAAAAAGGAATTTTTTTTTAAAAGTATGTTGGGTTTTTATGAACAATAAAGTATTATAATGAACAATTAATTTATAGTATATATAGTATATTTAAAAATTAAAAGTATTCAATTTTCTTAAAATATTACTGATAAATTCCAGGTATTTCTATATTTTTTGAATATACCGATTTTTGTAGTAAAAGAAGGAATTTTTTTTTTTTAAAAAAGCATGTTGGGTTTTTATGAACAATAAAGTATTATAATGAACAATTTATACTATATAGTATATTTAAGAATTAAAAGTATTTATTTTTCTTAAAATATTACTGATAAATTCCAGGTTTACTGATAAAATAAATTAGTGCTTCTGTTTATCAGGGGTGATTGTGAGCCCAAGTCAAAATTCCGGAAGATTTCTTGAGTTTAAAAAAAAATAATAAATAAATAAATAAAAAAAATAGTTTAAATTGAAAAATTAGAAAAAAATTTAAACAAGGTTTTTTTTCTTTTTCTAAATATTTCTTAGTTTACTTAAAATATGTTTAAAATTTTACACATACCTATACCATTTACACATACCTATGATGACCTGGAGGAGACATTAAAATTTACAAATATGTCTTTCTTTCTTGAGTTTATGATTATAATAACTATTTTCTGATAAAAAATGAATATCAATCATGAATATAAGCATATAAAGTATATCTCTGGCTCTCCCTTACAAACAAATAAAATAAACTGTGATTTTAAGTTTCACCTTTGAAAATTTGATTTCCGAAAACTTCTGTGATCAATGATTTTTTTAAACGTCTGGACCTTCGATCTCCGGAAACTTCCGGATCATTGTTAGCGAAAAATCCGGAAATCCGGATTTTTTCCGGAGCACAATCAGCCCTGGTTTATATAAAAATTGTGTTATTTGCAGATAACATGTCTAAATATGTGTGTGGCTCTTTGCTACGCAATATCGTCCTGCGCTGTGCAAGTGGCACTTTACTCAATATCGAAACCCTTTTGAAAAAGATACTTATAAAAATTTAACCAGTTGAGAATAATCCCAACAAAGTAAATATTTGTAATGCAGAACTAAGCCTATAAACACAGATAATTTTACCATTGTGTAACTATTATTTAAACCAGGGTTGGAGTTTTTGCCAGGACAGTGGCAAAAACATGGTAAAAACCGGCAAAAACTGGTAAAAACCGGCAAAAACTGGTAAAAACCGGCAAAAACCAAATCATCTAAATTGCTGATTAAATATTATTACAAAATACTTGAAACAAATTTAAATCAATCATAAGGAATAATAATTTTGATACATCACATGAAAAAATTATTTTTAACATATTAATAATTAATATAAAGGCAATAATTTTTAAAACATTGAAAGTTTTTGACCTCTTTTCATTTTAGAATCCTTAAATAAATGGTTTTTTACAAATAGTAAATAAATATTATTATTTGTACAATAATTAACTACACATCTTGATAGATATTTTATGCTTTAAATTATAGTTATATTAATTTAAAATAAGTTCATTTCACTGGAAAAAAGAGAATAATCGCAAATTTTCCAATCACTAATGTTTTAAACTACTAAAATGATATATTATTACATTATGATTAAATTATGAATAATAATTTTGTAATTATTTATATTTATAGTATATATTTCAATTTTAGGAATAATTTTGTACCAAGAATGTGTTTTTGTCCTCTCATTTTGGAAAATATAGGTTTTTGCCACTTTTTGCCAATTTGCTTGGCAAAAACCTGTTTTTGCCAGGACGGTTTTAACCAGTATTTACCATGGTTTTTTCCACCTGCGGCAAAATCTTGCCAACCCTGATTTAAACAGTGGATTTTTTCAAAATGAAATATGAATGAAAGGCAAGTGTTTTTAAGGGATAGTGGCTTATTTTATATATATAAAGAAAAGAAAAAGGCAAGAGGGAGTATTTATAAGGATCAAAAAGCAAACTGGACAAGTCGCCCTTCAAAAAATGCTAAGAGAGATCACTAATAAAAGCTTAAGTTATATTTAATACTAAAGAAAAATAAACATAATAACATTATGTAAGTCTATTTACTTATAAAGATTTTCAAAGATTTATTTTGAAATAAAATAAAAAGTAAATTCTACATGCAGGGGTCTGTCCAGGCCAAATTTACTACTGTTTCGCAGTACCTTCACAAGTTAAACTTCAGGAAAAACGTATTCATAAAATAATTATTTTTAAAATAACTTTTAATTTTCAAAAATTATGTCTGAATTTTCACAGAAAAAGTACCGCTCAGAAAAACCTAGTACTTTGACATGCATAACACTATCAATGATTTAAATTACGAAAACTTGCGGATTTTTTGAAAATAAATGATTTAGAACATTAAGACAAAAACTAATGGTTAAGAAAATGTGCTACACTTCTGATTTTAAGAAGAGAGAACAAAACATTATCTTTCTAAAGGAACAAAAAAAATTCAAGCTTTTAAACAAACTCAGGCATTTTGAATAGATAGAAAACACTGTAAAAGCAAGACTACTTAGAATTCACAAGAAATAATTTAATTTTCTCCAAAAAGAAACTTCGGAAGATAGATAAGACAGTAAGAAGTTTGAAATACTTTATGCAATTAGTGGGCAGTTCCTCAGATCAAGCAATGGCAATTCAGAATTTCAATCAAATTTCATCCAAATTTAATTTTTAAAAAAAAGATAAATTTACAAAGTCATGTAATCTAATTATGGCAATCTAAAAATCAGAATCATTCTATGAATTCTTGCAATCTGAAAACCTAGAAAAATGCAAAGCCTCAAATTTTGATTCGTTAATGAACCAAAAGTTGAGGCATTGCATTGATCTACAAATTAAACAGTGAACTAACATCAGCTTTTCAGTGACACATAGTAAAGATGGGACAGGCTCAGCCAAAGCCTAACATGGGCTCGTTTACAGATAAAGGGTTCCTGGTTCAGATTTATGATAACATATTTACAAATTTTTTTTACTATTTTTAAATTAACTCTTAGTTCAGTTATTAAGATTGCAAATAGTGATAAAAAAGGCTTTAATGACTATTTTTCTTGTTTAGACAAAAAGGCTGACCGGCAGAGATCGGATGTGACATCTAAAAATTATCAAAATAAATGATTTAAAAACGTAAAATCAGAATTTTAATTTTTCAAAATAGCAGCATTCAAATGCCGAAAATTGTCTAATTCAACATAAGTATCACATAACATAATTTTTATTGTTATTCTGTACATTTAATATTGATATGTAACCAACTATCAAGCATATATTATCCAAAAATCAATATGACAATAAGGGAGTACCAAAAAAAAAAAGACAACAATTTTTTAACAGTTGTTTCATTACTTTGAAATAAGAAAAACTAACCATAATTCAGTAAAGAATTCTGAAAAGATTCTGTGCTGAAGCGGATGAACTGAGGACAATTTATATCATCTAAATCCATTTCTAACAAATATAAAACCGATGTGTTAGAAAAATGAAGTTTATTAAACTCACAAAAATAAATACAAGTGTTAATTTAAGACCACACTGTTAAACAACTTTTCAAAATGCACTCAACAGACCTGCTTAGAAAGAGCCAATCACGTTGCTGATGCCCGAAACTAGCCAATCATTTTTCCTCATTTTAATTTTCTAAATTTATACGTTTCTGGCTTTTTATTTCTGTTCAAAACATGGTTAAAAGATAAAATTTATAAAAAACTATAATTGTAAAACCGACTGTAAATATATTTGTAACCGTAAGTTAATTGTTACTATGGTAACAATGATTCTGTAAGCATAAAATTACTTTCCAAAGTATTCCAAAATATGCATGTATCTATGATGTAATTAAAATAAATAAAATATTTATTTTTATTTAATACAAAAAAAATTATGCTAGATTTAGTATCCAATAATGAAGGAGTCCAAATAGTAATGGCTTCATCTAACGATTCAAGATTTCCACCTAGGAATATTTTGGATGGGTTTGTTTTTTTTTTCTTTATTGTAATCTGAAGTAGGATTTAAGCTTTAGCACATGAGATTTCCTGCTTTTTTCTAACATAATTACAGTTATGGGTTTTCATAAACCAATATTACTTTTTTTGTGTTAGTAAATCTTTATTTCTAGATTAAACTTTTGTTTCTTTGTAAAGTAAATTAATAAATCATTTAAGTTTTAAGTAGCATGAAATAGAATGTTGGGTGTAAAAATGATAAAAATCGAGTTATTATAGTATCTCTGTATTTTTTAAAAATTACGTTCATTTTATGTAAAGTTTATCATGAAATGTGTTGCAAGAATTTCTTATAAAATTTTTAAAGATATCAGTGGTTTAAATGTTATTATTCTTATTTGAAAACCGCTGACTTTTCATCTGCCTTCTTTAAAAGTTTTATAAGAAATTCTTGCAACACATTTTAAGATGAACTTTATATAAAATGAACATAATACCTGAAAAATTAACTGAGACTATATCAACTTGTTTTATATAACTTACGTGCAATAGTTTATTTCGTACTTTTTGTGTACAACCATAGAAAATGATTTTAAATATTTTATAATCATTCTTTTTTCAATATTTTCTCATCTTTGTAAATTTAGTACTGATGAGTAAATCTCAATTTGAGATCAAATGAATTTGTATTGCTCATATCTAGAGAGAATGGCTCGTATAAATCTGCATTTTTACTAAAAGAAGTTTTTTTTTATAACCGATGTTGAACAGCCGACCCAATTTTGGGTTTACAACCACTAATGTTCAACTCCATAGCCTTGTAATTTTGAACTTAATCCAAAAGACAAAAAACTCCAGGATCAGTACCCTAAGAGGTATGATTTGTTATGGGAACATGGAGGACTCTGAGACTTGACAGATTTAATGTGCATCAGTCACCATTTCTACATGGGGAGTCTTTGGCCGTCGGGAATTGCACCCACGACCTCTTGGACATGGGCCCAGCTCCCTACCAACCAGGTTATCCCGGCCCTATACAAATTGTTTAGGTCATTTACAAAATATTGCATAGATAAACCACAATAATAAACACACAAAAATTATTAACCATGATTGCGATTGTAAAACAGGCCTTTTAGAGATCGAGCCTATGATCTTCATGTTGTTAGCATTATTCTCTAGCCAACTGAGCTAGTTCACCATGCTTACAACTGTTTGATATAAATATAAAATAATGTCCTTTATCGAAACTTCATTCTGAGATGTGGGCCAGCTAAAATACTGATTAACCGTAAAAGAAAATTTGAAAATAATGTTGTCCTTTTGGTTTTGGTGAGAATTTACAAAAACTTCTCTTAGAGCGTAAGAAATATTGCTTTAGGAGTTACTCTAACCACTTTTGGGTTTAAGGCATCTGCTAATTCACAAGCATTTTCTTTTAGAGTTTAATTCGTGTAAAACAGATCTAAAGTTACCCTCTATTTTTAAATGCATGTTACATGTAGTATATCAAAAACTAAAAAAAATTATAACATGCTGACTTATATTGCCCCTCAATATATTGTAGCTAAGCTAAAACCAGCTGTAAGAATTCAATATTTGTTTGATGCTAGTTATGGGGTATGAGAAGGCTAAATTAAATGAATATAGACTGCTCAAAAGATATATACCAGTAAAAATTAAAGCATAAAAAGTTTTCTTTTATGTTTCAGATATTTAATTTGCACAAAGAAATTCTAAACGCTTGATTGTATTATTGAAGTTCAGATTGCAGATTTAAATTTGAACTATTTTACTGATTGTGACAGACTTTACAGTAGTGTTTGTAATAATTTCACCCATTCTTTTGTCGAATAAATTTGGTGGCCTTTGTTATCCCATTTTAAAAGCAACATTGAATTCAAAAATATAAAAAGCAAAATCAAAATGAAAGTATAAACAACCAATCACTAAATTATTGTTTGAAATAATGTTTAAAAATTTTTAAGGCAATCCAATTTAAAAGTACAAATTTGATGATTAAAATTAGGACAAATTGATTTTTTAAATTATCTGAAACATAAGTAAAATTTTGTAAACTTATCTTAATACACACAGTTTTAAAATATGTGATTGAAATTTTACTAATATGTGTAACTGTTTGTATGCGAGTTAATATTTAAACTCAAATCAATGTTTTTAAAATCAATCTATAATTTAAAAAAGCTTTAACTACCATACTGGTTTAAGTAACTCCAAATGATGTTCCTGGTATTTTATCTAAATTAATAATTTTTTTCCTTTAACTATTTTAAGTTTGCTGCTTTACTTATTATGATTATAATTTCCTTCTTTATGATTTAAATTATTTAATCCTAATAACTAGTATTTAAAGAAAAATCTGCAAAATTTAAACCTGTTCGAAAAATTCTTTATCCCAAAGATGATTTAAACTATGCTATTGGTTCCATATTAATTTTTTTTTTTTAATGTAAATCTCTTGCAGTTTTTCTGTATTCATTAAATATCCAAGTACTATCAATTTGACTGACTGAATATTAAGTTGACACGAAACCATTAAAATTGAACTAATATTTAATTAACAATATTGTGTTATGCTAGTATTTGATAACTGTACCAATATAACCTAATATTTTGCTATTTTAACTTTATTAATGGCCAGTGATAATCATATGATAGCTTTGGATTCAGTTCTCAAAACTTCAGTTCTAAGAGTTGAAAATGTATTTGTAATGCAAAACAGCTTTTAAAACATGCTTTAAATTATTTATTTTTTAAATTTTGATAAAATCTTGTAATAAAAAGTTAATTAGGATATTTTTTTTCAAGATTTATTCATTACTTACAGGAAATCGGACACATTTTGGGCAACAACAGGTCTTTATCCTCAATGCTTTGTAATAGGTCTGTCAGAGCCTGCTGATGTAAAAAGTATTTCTATAAGCTCATATAATGGTAAAATGATGTTTATTTAACAGTATTTGTGTTGTTTTATTTCTTTTTTGATACAATTAGGATAGTTTTATTTATTTTTACATAGTGAAAGATCTTAGAATTGAAAAATCAATCAAGGAAGATCCTATTGAATTTGAAGAAGTTTTAGAAACTGGTAGGTTCAAAATATAACATGATTCATTTTTGTTTGAATTTTTTACAAAATAAACTTTAATTGTGATATAGTTATTTTATAACTTTGTAATTATATGTATTTTTAAAAAAATGTCTTAGAGATCTTTGCACATAGAGAAATATGCTTTTATGAAAGTTAGTTAATTAAATGTGATTTGTTGCTTATAGAATATTTTTAAAAAAACTTAAAATTTAGTTAAGTTTAGTCCTTTAATATTCTTTAAATCCTGATGTCTTATGTACCTGTAACCCACTAAATTACCAAAGGTCAGTTTTTCAAAAGAAAAGTTTCTTTCTTTTTTACAGTTAAAAAAAATAGGTTTGTTTAAGTAAAAAATAGTGATCAAATGTCAATTTTTTTTTTAATTCCTAAATTAAGCAAAATTTTATAAGATATAGTATGTTTTATAAGACATAGTTTTGCTCAACTAGTAACATTTATTATTTATCATTTAGCTTTACTTAAAAGAAGTTATAATTAAAACTGAAAAGAACGACTATAATTTTTTGTTATCGCCTAATTTTTAGTGTTTGACTTCATATTATTAAATTGAATTAATTAAATTATGTGATTAATTAAATTAATATGAATTAATGTGAATTAATTAAATTTCCACTTACAGTTATTGTGTATTAATTTTAGATCCAATTTAAATTTATATATTTTGAGAAGTAAAATTATACTAATGACGAAAAAGAAAAATGGAATTTATTACAGTTTGAGGAAATGATGTTATTACATCAGTTGATGAAAATATTGAAACATGAATGAATGTTGATTCAAAAAAGGATTAAAGCTTATCAAGTGTTATTTTTCCTAATCTAATAAAGAGATAATTTCCTATCAAAAACTGATTTTTCTTTGCTAAATTCGGTAACAATACCCCTTCAATAAATATTCTTTCAATGCGCACCATCCTCAGTATCAATTTATTACTGAATTTTAGACATGGTTGTATGTAAGATAACCTTAAAAACAGTTGAAGTTTTAAAAGTTATTAAATTATAAAAAGTTAAAAGTTATTAAAGTTAAAAAATTTCAGAATCCAATAATAATTTTAACACATTACAACAGAATGTTTACTTAAAAAATAGGCGTCAAGAATATTTAGTGCAATATATTTTTATAAAATATAGGTTACAATTTATAAATATGTCTTTTACATACTATACTTCTTTTTAATTGTTGATTTTTTCTGTTTTTTAAATTATTACATTAGCAGATAGTCTTACAGAAATATTTTGTTTTAGACCAAAAATTTTTAATTTTATGTTCTTATTCTTATCACTGAAATCAAAATATAATTTTTCAAATTTTTTTGTAGAATTTTTTCAAGTTTTGTAAAAATGAGTAATATTTTATTTTTCTTTTGACAAAAATACTAGCGATTTTTTTTTCCCTCAGCAAAAGGACCTGGTTAATAGTAATTTCAAGTTCTGTTTAAAACCTCTAACATTTTCAAATATTGAAGCGTTGTTTTAAAATTTACCTATCTTTTTTTTTTCTTTTCAATACTCAATGATGATTATCAAAGCTAGGGAGAACCTGGAATGGCCTAGAAATTTGAATTGAAAGAGTGAGATTTTGCTTTCTTGAAAAGTAATTTCATCCCTTCAGTAGATTTGAGTAATAATGTTTCCATCTATAAGTGCTGAAAGAAATTTATTATCAAATACTAAATAATAAGTTGTATTAACTAAATTTTAAAAACTGATTGAAAATTATTCATCATGTATCAGTGATATGTGCAAGATTTTGCATTCAGGTAACCCTTAATTTTTTGTCAAAATATACATATTTGATAATTTAAAATAATGAATTACAAAAACTATTAATGAGGATTTAACTTATAAGAAACAATATTTTTTTAGTGTATATTATTGTTAATAAAAAAAATCATCAGATATTGGCAATTTTAGAAAATGCATATTAAAAAGATCCTGATTGCGAATATGTCATTTGTCTGTTAGTGAGTCTAAATTCACACTGCCATGTATTTAAAAGCATATTTCTTCATGCATTGTTTAAATTTTTAATTCAGTATTTTTACATAAAAATTTTTGTATTTATAATTTTAGTATTTGAGTCCAGTGAAGGAGCACCTCAGCAGAAAGCACTCTCCACATCGTTGTGTGAAGCAAGATTTTTGAAATTCATCATTAAATCTGGATATGATCATTTTTGTGCAGTTTACAAAGTTTCAATGAATGGGACTGTGCTCTCATAAAACATCTTGTGGAGTTTTTTTTTTAAAAAATGTACATATATATAAAGCTATTGTTTGTGTAAATTTTATTTATTTTAAATATTATAAAGTAAATTATGAGTGTTATTTTTCAAATGTTCTTAATTGTTTATTTCTGCTTCTGTTTCACTGAGATAGGATAACAGGTCAATCTTTAAAATTTTTCATTATTTGTTACAAAGGATTACTACATAAAAAAGAATTTATTCTTCAACAGCAGAATTAACTACAACTAAAATCCTCAATCATTTTTACTGCAAATATTAAAAATGCTTAATTACAGAATTAAATATTATTCAAAATAAAAAGAAATAATTAAATGCTAAAAAGTAAATAATTACTAATATAAACAAAATATTAGAGTATTTTAATTGTTGTTTAATCATTCAATTAAATGTATTTAGAAAACCAAGTATTTAAACAATTATATAGTAGGCTCATAATTGAAACATATAAAAGCAAGAGTTTCTAGTTTCAAAGTTAGTTATTCTAATCTAAAATGTTATATCTTTGGATTAGTAAAACTCATTTAGTCATATTTTTACTAAATACAAATTTATTATTGTTTTCATATTTCCATAACATTGAAAACAAATAGCTTCAAACATCTTGAAACTATAATCATTGATTGGTATGTTTCGCTTGTAATGTATATTTGTCCCCTATTTTTATTTCTTATTTTTTAAAGTGTTTTTTTACTTAATTTTTCTTTAAAAATTAAATAATAAAAAATATTTATTTTCACAACATATCGAATGCTAATAAATTGTTTGATTAAGATAAGATACACGTTAATTTAGTATCATAGATAAATAAAATTCCACGTATAAATGATATTTTGTATACTTCACTGTGATAGTGCAAAAATTGTTTAATAAATGAAATTTATTTTTAAATTATGATTCTAGCTAAATACTCTTATGTTAAGTAGATAAAATTCTCAATTCGTACAAGTAATATTTAATGAGAACACTGTACTTGGATGCAACCTCACAATTAGCATCTCCTAGTTTAAAATATGGATCCTCATTTTCTACCTATGTCAACATTTTGAAATTCTTACCCTAGAAAATTAATTGCTTACATTTTTTTACACATGTATTTTGTAAAACTGAGAATTCATTGATAGCAATACAAAAGTATATCAGTTTCTCTTAATTTTCATGTCATAATTTAAGAGATAATTGGACCAATATGTTTAACTTTACTTCACTACTTAATAAGATGATGAATGCTACAATTTTTTTTCCCTTGTATATTATAGGTTTAAAAAATGATATAGATTGAAAATGAATATCCATATTCTAAACTTGGAAGGGTCAGTACTGAAGTTATACCCAATTAAATATTGTAAAATTGCTAAAACATTATGAAGAAAATAAAAAATTTAAAAAAAAGTGTTTTTAAATATTTGCTGCAGCAAGTTTTCTAGTGCTGCATGTCTAATAATCCATAAACTTTAGATCTTAAAAAAAATCAAAATCTTTTTTTTTTTTTTTTTCATTTCAAAGTAATATGAGCATTGGCATTATATTTATATTAGCTTTTTATGAAGGTAAAATTAATGTGAAAATGATGAATCAATCTGTATATTATTAAAATAATATTCTATTTCAATACATCTGCTGACATTTTATAATGTTAACTGAATTTCAATAAAAACAATAAGTTTTATAATCATGTAAATTCTAACTGAATTAGCACTATTATACAAATAATATATAAAATTATACTTAAAAATAATAATGTTAGGGAAAAAATAAATAAAATGAAACATCTTATCAAATAAAGTTTTAAATTATTTCAACACTAGCTCTGTACGTATGGTTATTGACAATTTAATTCTTAAAAAAAATTATTTAATGAATCGCTTAAAGGTAAAGATTTGAAAAATGATTGCATATTATGAATGGACCTAATAGTATTTTACATAATTAAGCATTGTGCTTTGATTGCCTTTGAACTTAACATCACTATTTTAATGACCATAAACAAATTTTATGTAAAGATCACAAGTATTTGTACATGCAAATAATCAACAAAAAAAACTTCAAACCAAACATAAAAAGATATTTATTTTTATTCTAAACCAGAATATAAAAACATTTTATTATTATTAAAAAAACTCAATCTGTCACTTCATCTTCATATATTGATGCAATACCTCTTTGACCTTCTTCAATATTTGCACTTGATGTTTCACCTAATTTTTGTTCCAAACCTTGCCAACTGCGTTGAAGTAAAAACTCCCCTAAAAATATTTTTTTTATTCTAAGCAGAACTGATAAATTTTGTCAGACAAATACACATTAATAATATTTGTAACTGAACATCGTTCAAGCTGTAAATTAGAATAAAAATTTCTACATATATAGTTGACTTCATTTCATGCAGTTTCGTACTGTATCTCTTTTAAATTTCATAGTACAAAAGGTTCATTAAAATCATTTATAAAAAAATTGCTTTTAACAAAGACTTTAATTTATATTTTAAAAATCTTAAATGCAACTAGCACTTTTTTACTAATTATAAAATAATTTTCCTATAACTTAATTTGACTTTCAGCCAGGGTTGGTACGATTTAAGTCACTAGATTTTAATCATGATTAAAATGGTGAATATAATCACTTGATTTTTTTTTTAAAAATCTTTATTTTAAACCAAATTATTGTTTTTTTTTAAAAATATTAAGTCAAAAATATTTTTTACACAATATAAATAAATATACTCATTATGATGTGATTTTTTTTCTTAAAAAAAAAGTCTGATTTCATTGATAATTAAGGTTTTTACAAAAATAATAATAATGAGTAACGGATATGTGTAAATTATTTCAATCGAAACAGAAAACTATGGCAGAAATAAATTATAAATTTCAAATAATTATGAAATAATTTGCTAGTCATAAACAAATATTTAAATTATAGCCATTTATTTTTAAATTTAATGAAATACAAGTTCTTTTAAAACTTATTAAATATGTAGTTAGTATTTATTAACAATAAAGAAAAGGTCATTCATCCCGAAGTAACTTAAAATATTTTTTTCCTCTTTAATGTTTTTTGATCCAAATTAATTTATTCTTCATTGCAAATTTAATTGACAAATTTCAGCCTCCCTGTCTTCAAAATTCAATGTTGAGCTTGAACAAAAATAACTATGATTTTGTTTATTAAATGAACAGTGTATGATAAGTAAATAAGAATTTTACCTATTAGCAAGAAATATTAACTATTTTTGCTATTATATTGTTTTGAAATATTATTAAGTATTATTAAAACATTTGTCCGATAATTTTGTTGATAATTGTAAAAAAAAATCTGAATTAAATTTTTTTAAAATCTTTTTTTATTCTTACAAACACCTATTCTCAGTACCTATTATAGAGCTCAATTTTCTTTAAATGATTTAAACAAAATAACTATCATAATTGTTAGAATTTCTGCAAAACAAATCCTTCTCTGTAACTACTATTTAAGTGATTAAGTTAACTATGATAAAAAATAGTAAAAGAGATAGCACAAGAGTTCACTAAAATTTCTACAAAGAATAAAGCAGCTTTTCTTGCTATAGTATATTGCTTAGTTTTTATTTTAATTAACTGAAGCTTCTAAAATAAGTATTAATGATGAAATGAATAATACTCAAAAACTGAAGCAGAAAGATATTCTTATCTATTAAAAAACTATTAGCTACAAAAATTAAGGTAAAGTCAACATGTCTTGAGTCCTCAAAATAGATGTCCATTATCAAAACAAACAAACATGTTAAAAATGAAAATATATTTTTAAAAAAAGTACTTCAATTCAATTAGTTCTTCACCCCTTATTCCACCTGGAAATATTTTCTGGAAAGCATTTTTACCTGGAAAGAGCAAAGCATGCAGCATTTCCACCTGGAACCGTAACCCTTTATGAAAATTTTAAAATGTCTTTATGAAAATTTTAAATTTTCTCCAAAATGGCAGATTTTAATAAAAAAAGTAAAATAAGAATGAACAATTTTCAAGTATATTTTAATTCTTTTATTTAAAGTTACTAATGCTAAAATTTTATAATATTTCAGTTATTTTAGTATCATACAATTTAACTGAAACTTAATGTCTTTAATTCTCATTTTGAAATAATGGCAACTATGTTTTTATTCAATTAACTTATAAAAAACTTAAAAATATTTTATGTTTCTGATTGATGTATACCTGCTCCTTTAGAATGTATTGAAGATATTTCCATTTTATCTCTGGAAGCAACAGCAGTTTCTGAAGATTCAGAAATTCCAGTGTTTGTAGATAATTCTGTATGACGTAACCTGCCAGTTACTAGAGACACATCAGTATTTTCATAACTCTTACAAAGAGGAACATAATGAGCTGCACCTGTTGCATAAGAATTTATTTCATGATTACTGTAAATAAATTACACACAAAATAAATAAAAATATCTAATAAAAACTATTTGAAATATAAAGAAATAACTAAATGAGAAGTTCATATAAAAGCAACACCTTTAAAATTCCTGTAAGAATTGTACATTATACTAATATTTCTAAGGCAAAATTAGAAAATTTTAAAAACACTTGTTAAAACATTTTTTCATAAAATGAACATTTTAGGCAATTTAAAAAAATCATATTAATAAGTATTGTATATTTTGAAATATTTCTCAAAATATGGTAAACATTACGAAGTTTATTTCTAAAATGAATAAGAATTTTAAGAAACAAGCATGAAATAAAGTAATTTTTAGAATATTATAAAATAAGCATAATAATTCCATAGGTATTTAAAAAAAAAAATAATGGGACATAGAGTGCATTTTCGAAGAAAAAAAAACTTGGCAAACAATTTTTTTATATATCCATTTCTTATATTTAGTTGACCTGAGGATGGTGGCAACAATTAATTTTTCCCCATACTAAAATTAGGTTTTTAACAATTTTAGATATTTTATAATAAGAAATTGAAAGGTATAAGATTTTTCTTGCAAATTTGAAATGAAGCTTATTCTAAGTAGAACAAAATAAGAAAAAAATTAATACCTAGATAATTAGAAAAATTTTTAAGTTATATTTATACATATATTAATTTATCCAATGCATATATGTACTGGTTTATTTTGTTGTACCTTAAAAAAAAATGTGAGATAAGAGAAGAAAAAAATTTCTCCTCCCTTACAGTTTATTACTTCACTAATTAAATAACAGAAAATATTCTAATATATAGCCAAATTCATGAAGTTTAGTTCTTGAAAATAAATTTTTAAAGCTCCATGCTGGAATGCATTTGTTGATTTCAAATATGTTTGACAGATAGTAAAGCATCATAGTGTACACTTTAATTATTTTTATGTGGCTAAAAGTTGGTGCAAATTTTTTTGTTTAGTCACTTTTTACTCAGTGAACAATTTTATAAAAAAAATTATCTAAAACAAATATAAAATTCTTGACAAAAAAATAAAATCAAAATATCAAAATTTATTATGGAAAAAATTAATTTACAGTTCCTTTATTTTATAATATTATTAGCTGAAAATGCTAAAAATATTCATTTTGGTAGGTTGAATCTCTCAAAAACTAAGAATGATAGAAATTTTCATTTCAATACCTTGCCCAACAATTTACTAAAATCAACCAATCATCAATATGAGTTTGTGGTATTTTTCTACTTTAATTTTTGTCAACCACTGATCACATTTATTATTATTATTTCACTGTGTACATTTATATCCTTAATATTATCGTGTTTCAATTATTATTTTACATTATCTAATTGACAACAAAGAAAAAGGATTCAGATTGTTTTTATAATAGCAATCTTTTATAAACTTGCCACATTCAATTTTAAACAAACAAAAAAATATTTTTAGTTAAGTTTACATGAGGTGAAAATTTCAACTCCAAAATCAGCCAATCTGAACTAAAACAATAAAAAGAATTTTCTGAAATTTTGTAATTTTATCCATATGTACCATACTTAATTTAAAAATTATCTCAAAAACTTAAAATCTTTCAAAGAAAAAAGCTCTTTATGTATACCAAAATAAGACAACTATCATTAAAATTTTTAAAATACTAATAGTAGGGGAATAACCTATTTTGAGGGGGTCGAATGGACTGTATTACTAATTATTAAGAACAAACGATAACTATTTATTAATGAAACGATGAATGACGCCATTTGAAGACGTCCGATTATATCAGAACAAAACAAAAAACAAGAGCTCTTCTTTTCGCCAAATTAAATAGATAAACGAAGCCAAATCCAAGAGAGGCGCCAAAAACCTAAAAGTCATGATTAAAGCAAATCTTTAAAAAATAAAAGTTATACTGATAAAAAATTATATTTATGCAATATTTTTCCACATATACATATTGAGGTCTAAAATGAAAATTTTAAACATTCAAAGTGAATGTGTAGTAAATCTTATTACCTGGCAATATTTCACTAAAATCAGTGATGTAATCTCCAGTCCATTCACGAGCTTGATTTAAAGCAATTTCTAACTCATATGGTGTTACAATCGGCTGGTAGAAGTCTCTGCTTTCAACTAACGAAGATTCAATGCAGGCCACATAAACAAATACATCAATTTCAGGAAAATTAGCTAATTTTGCACTATTCAGCTTACCAACAACTAATGTATATGATTTCTTCCCAGCATTTTTTATCAGTTCTTTAATGTGATTGATTGTAGACAGATAATTTGAAACTCCTAAAGTTCCAACAAGAATACCAATAATTTTTGCATCTTTTGCTTTCTCAATGTAATAATAACGTCTCTTAAGGTGTCTGTTGACATCTAAACTTTCAACTTTGCCAATTTTTTGGATCGGATTATATGAATAAAATGTACAGTTTGGAAACGATAGCATTAAATTTGTCAATGTCACAGAACGACTGCCAACATAAAATATGCTATAATTATCAATTGTATGAGAATCAGGAATTAAGATGTGTCTGTGATTTTTTGCTATCAAATTTGAAAAAGCTTTATCTTGGTTAATTAATTTTACATCTTCACCAGGTATTTCCAATTGAGATGTTACAACATTATCATAATTCTTTAAATGTTCAACAAAAATACCTGAAAAACAAAAGAATACTAAAAACATGAATGAAAAAAAATTTGAAGTTAGCACATACTATAAATAAACATATAAATTCTTAAATAGATTAAAACTAATTTGAAAATTACCAAGATATTCATGAAAACCATTACACTATGTGTGCATGTAAATATAAAATTTCATTAAAAATTACAAGTGAAAAAAATATACTGGATGTTCCCAAATGACTGTTAATTTCAAAAACCAAATAGCTTCAAGCATTTAGACTCGAAAATTACCACAATGAAAGACATAACTAAAAGAGATTCAAAATCAAGTCGCAGCCGTTTCCTTCCCATTCCTTTGTTAACTACTAAACATTTATTACACATAAAAATAAATATCTAATTATATTTTTTACTAATAGTTAATTATAAAAATATATTTAAAAAAAGGAGCTGAGGAATATTCAATATATAATTAAAAGTTTTGTATAAATTAAAATTTCAGTACAAAATAATACAAATATCAGTTCAAAATAATAGTGGATTTTACAAAACAATATAAATTTGATGGAAACTAGAACACAATATAGGAAATATTCCCCAATAGGAGATTTTAAAGATTTTCATAATCAATAAAAATAAAATACAAAAACTATATAACTAAAAAGCATAAATTTAAACAGGCTGTAATACATTCTGTTTGTGATGGACATTAGACAATAATAAATTTCAATATACATTTTTTTATTATTATGCTTATCATATTCCCCAAATTTGAATTGCAAAATGATAGTCTATTGGTTAACTTACGATAAAAAACTACAACATATTCTGAAATAACAACATAAAGTTTTCAAAAAATATTGTGTTAAAATTATTATTTTTTAAATATAAAAGGCAAAAAATAAAAAGCTTGAATATAAAAAGGAAAAAACTCCAGACTGGTTATTATATATATATACACCTCATACATAATCTTTTGATGATAATATGATCTAATAAACAAAGAATATCCAAATATCTTCCGATGTTATCAGCATAGAATTTTTAAAAAAAGTTACATTAGTGTCTATATATCAGTAAATTATTTATAAATTTCGCATTTAAAAGTATTTACAAGCAATAATTATTTATAACCCCTTCTACATGTTAATCTTGGTTATTATTTTGCTTTCAATTACTATTTAAAAGTAAAGGCTGAGAAGTAAAAAGAAGTTTCCTTTACTAGATTCTTAAAAAAACAGGATATTAACTTATCATACAATATTTTGAAAGAAGAATATTTGGTTACTCCTTTACAATTATTAAATGGAAAATAATAAGTTATGTTTACTTTTAACACAATGAATACAAAAAAAAACTTTTAAAGCAACATTATTTTTTTGCACTGTTGATGAAAAATCTCTTAGGTAAAAAATATTTAACCAGTTCTTAATCAACTTTCAAATTTTAAACAAGAATTTTGTATTGTGTCTACCACTAAAATTATTAAATACCAATTCACTACTACATAAGACATGTTAACTCGTTTCTATCTTGGGTTATCTTTTGATAGATGAAGGTTGACATTGCTGAAAGCTCTTTCCCCACAAATTTAGAAAACAAGTTTAAAAAAGTTGCAATGATAACAGAGCAAAGTAATTGGTTTAAATTGAATCCTAATTGAATTAAATATATGGAACCAATTCTGTAATAAAAAAAACATTTGAATCTTTTTATTGATTAATTTTTAAATTTAATTAAATAATCTTTTTAAAAAATGGAAGCAAAGAAACCATGGACGTTTATATGCAAAATAAGTATGATTTTTATACTTATTATTTAATAAAATCTTTGAAAAACAAAGTGATTTTTACCTCATAGTTACATTATAATATTGTGGTAGAACCTTTATCAATCATCTCTCACAAGACCACTCATTGAGAACGATAGATACAAGAAAATGACGAAAGCAGGTCAAAATTAATGGCTCATAAAAAAAGTAATGGACTTTTTTTATTTGCAACCAGAATAAAATATTTTAATTGAAGAAATTATAAACATACTGCATAAACATACTGCAAGTATTTGTGATGAACAAATACATTTAATTATTCTAAATATTTGAGAATTTTAGTTTTTAACATCCTCTTTTTCTTTTTAAAGAAAATAACAAATTTCCAATATTTGTTACAGATTGCTAGTCTTTTTCTATAAGTTCATGTAAATACAAAAAAAATCCTCACGGTTTAGTAGGCTCTGTAGTCTATTGTAAAAGTTAGCATTGATTGTGGTGCTGTTGCGTTGTCTTCATTGGTAACATTTTTCACTTCTACCAAAATCACACCATAAATTTAGAAATTATCATAAACTGATACATAAATGTCAAACATAATGCTTAATGTATTTCCCCCAAACTATTACAAGTCCTGATTTTCTTCTTCATCACTTACGTTTTATCAGAAGTAGGTATTCCCCCTCCCCTCAAAACGAGAGGTATGTCAGTAAAATTTCTGAAAGACAAAAGGAAGATCTAGACTGAAATTATAAACATTATAAGAATAGCATTTGTGACAGTACCGTTAAAAGAAGATGATACATATGGGAGAAAGTAAGATACAGAAATGATAAATTAAGGTTCAACTGAATAATAAAAAATTATAGCAATTCTGATAAATAATGAAAAAATTAATCTTACTAATAGCATGAGAATATGTGACTTCATATAAGATGACAACAGGAGTTTTTTCATCAGGGAATAGACTTTGAAATGAATCAACTGTATCATTAATGTCAATATGATGCTTTCCAAATATATATAAAACAGGAAGTCGCTTTGTTGGGCTGAGACAAGCATGACCAAAGTGAATAATTGCATCAGCCGAAACATGCTCTGCAGCAACTTCATCAACGCAACAACTAATGAAAATAAAAACAAATTCAGATGCACACAATTTTATTTAACTGATATTGATTTATTTTTTAAATAATTAAAATTACAAAATTCGCTAGAATTAAGTCAAATGACTAAATTGTTCATGACCAAAATTGTCTCATGAAACACATTTAACCATAACAATTATAAATGAAATACAGACATGCATTAATATCATTGATTGATTAAGAAGATTTCCATAGGAACTTATTTGTAAGTTTTAGAAAGTATGATAACTAATTCCACTAGTATTAAAATGTATTCAACAATGAGGACTATATATTTAAATAGTTAAAAACTAAAAGAATTTTAATATTTGGTCACTTATTCCTGTTTTAACATTATTTTTAAAAATCGAAAATGCTGTTTTCAGATATAAGTTAAGAAAGGAGCTCCAAATGTAAAAATTTTGTAAATTCAATGATTTATATAAATATATTTATAATACCTTCCAGTCAATTACTGTTATTTAAAAAAAATTCATATGAGCATAAGGCACTTAAACAGTAGCTTTTTTAATTCTTACTTTTTATTTATTAATATGTTTTTAGTCAATTCTGATATTACTAGACACCTATATTTCTCTAAAGTTATTTTTATTTTATATTTTCCTTCAGATCAATGCTCAACCAAACATATCAGGAATTAAAATTATCATATATAATGAATGCTACATATATACATAATGATCAAATTTTATGGTGCATCTGAACTTTCATGTCAGAAAACCAGCACTTAATATGCAAAAGGCTGGCTGGAAACTTTACAATTCATCATCTAATCAGAAGCTAACACTTATGGTAACTAAAATAAACTATCTTTTTTGAGTGTAACTAATTTATTTACATAACATGGAATAGAAAGCAATGAAAATCCTCTGAATTTAGATCAAGCACAATGAACATTATCAAGTTTCAGTTATAACTAAACGTCAGTCTTTTTATTCATAGATTTCTAAGGATTTTTAAAACAGTCAAATGACATGTTATTAATGAAACAGAAAAATGCCATAAAGTAAAATTTCATTATATTCTAGCTTGAGAAAAGTAATATTTATCAGGTTATTTCACTTATTAATCTGTTTAGTGATGATCCTAAAATTCTGATGTGATGATTCTTTAAAATGTCATGATGAAAGTGATGATTCTTTAAAATGTCATAAAATAAAATTTCATTTTATTTTAGCTTCTGAAAAGTGATATTTAACTACATTTAACTTATTAAACTGATTAATGAATGATCCACTTCCAGTGGATCCCTTCTCACGTTGGGGTCCTGGGCAATGATATCGCCGGCACTCTGGCTAAGGAGGGGACAGAAGAAACTTTGATGAGTCCAAATTCACTCACCTTCATGGAACTGGCATCGAAAAAGAAAAAAGAAGACAATGTTTCCTGGTTCGTACCCCCCAAACATCACTGGTACCAGAGCACCCGTCTGGAAGACGCAATCAACATTCCGTGCAACCGCAAGGATCAGGCGGCGCTTATCTGGCTTAACAGCGGCCCCCTTAAGCCTCTTTCTTTTGCGGTTAGTGTTAAAATCTTCCCAAACCGCCCCAGGTGCCACAAAATGCAGGCTTCTTCCCAACATCGAATCAATCAACATTCCGTGCAACCGCAAGGATCAGGCGGCGCTTATCTGGCTTAACAGCGGCCCCATTAAGCCTCTTTCTTTTGCGGTTAGTGTTAAAATCTTCCCAAACCGCCCCAGGTGCCACAACATGCAGGCTTCTTCCCAACACATCCTGGACTGTCTTGGACTGGACAAGAGGGACATTCTAGAAAACCCACTTTCGGTGGCCGACTTCCTCCGGGTTACGAATTTCATGGACATTGTTTAGCCCTGCTAATTTTGGGGATTAGGAAGAAGAAGAAAGAATGATCCTTCACAGCTAACTTCTTTTAAAATGTCATAAAGTAAAATTTCATTTTACTCTAGCTTGCGAAAAGTGATCTTTAATACTAAATATAATAACAATACAATAAAACATACAATGATACTTTTGATCGGTTATGGTATGTTTAGTGTTAACTATATCATATTTATTAAACTGATTAATGATGATCCTTCACTTTTAACATTTATAAAGTAAAATTTTACGAAGTAAAATTTCAATATATTTTAGCTTGTGAAAAGTAATATTTAACTTATTTGCTACTTTCAGTAGCTTACTAGTTCCAGTAGTTTCAGTATTTACTAAAAGTAATAGTCGACTATATTAACTTTATTTACTTATTAACGCTACTTTCTTTAAAATGCCATTAAGTAAAATTTCATTTTATTCTAGCTTACAAAAAGTGATATTTAATTATATTTAACTTATTAATGATGATCTTTCACTGCTAATTTCCTTAAAGATATCAATATTATCTATATAAAACGTTTTTGAAATAATGAAGATGGAATAAAAAGAAAAGTTACAGAATTTGTTGAAAAAAATAAATCATTCAAATATTAAACAAAAATCAGGAACATAAAATGTAATAAATAATACCAACTTTGAGAACATTACCTTCCATATGAGGTATCCCCTAAAATAAATATCTCTTTATTCGTCAAATCTTCTAACTTCAACGCAACAGATGCAGCATCACCGAGCAGACTGTCCGGAAACTGTAAGGCCACCTGTAATTTATAACAATTTTAGGATGTATAATATTTTTTAAAATTTTCACAAATTGCTTGTAACAAAGTTAGAACATTTCTTCAACTAAGGAAGTAACTATGGAACAACAGAAAAAATAATGGTTAAGATAGCCTTAAAAGTAGCACAACCTTTAGCATAGCAGCCAGATGCAGTCCTCCAATAATCAATATGCCTTCTAGCCAAAACATGATACGCAAACTCATAAATGATATGCAAACAATTAAATTTTAACTTAATTTTATAGACAAACTTTTTATTTCAGTCATTACATGTAAATAAACAATCTACAAAATAGCACCTTATTTTTACTTTGAAAATATTTTGTCATAGTTGCAAATGTGTCTAATTTTCTGCAATCAGACTTTTAAACCTATCAAACACAGCATCATTAAAACATGGCATCATAAATTCAATCTCAATAATCAGGCACTTAACTTGAGAGAACGTGCAGGGGCCATTTTATGGCCCTGCATAATTTATAATTTCTTATTCATAGAAAACTAGACAATTGTTTCTCCATTTCTTATTAGTAGCTAAGTTTTTCTTCCTTGTCTGCCTTTTTTGAATAAGTTATTTTATATCCCAATAGAGGTTGTATCAGTTATGGGGTTATAGAATGGCCCCACACATCTTTCTGTTTCGTCCAGAAATAAATTTATTTCTGTTGCGGATGAGTTTAGTGCATTGTTTTTTATTCCCAATTAAAGTGATTTCTACTTGTTTGCAAATTTCATGAAAGTTTTTCCCCAAAAAGTACAAAACTACTTTGTTATCTAGCAAAAATCTACTAACTGTGCATAAAATCTGTAACCTAACTGTGTATTAAAAATCAAAGACCTAGCTATTTCACTTATTAGAGATCAACACCGGCAAACATGTGGTTAATCAGAGTTTGAATCATGAACAACAAGTTCAAATATTAAAAAATTGCTGGCTTGAATCATCAAATTAAAATAAAAAACTTCTTCAAAATGAAGTTTCGCTAGAGGAATTACGAACTACTGGAACTAATACTTTTTGCACAACTGTGTGTAATAACTATCTCCAAGAAAATTAAATATAAAGAAAAGCTGTTATATACCTTCATACTTGAATTAAATTAAAAATATCAAAGCATAATTATTTATATATTAATTATCAAAGAAGTATATACAATTATACTTTATTTAATTCTATAGAAAAAAGAACGGTAAAAAGCTTTGAAAGTTAAGAAATAGTAAGCAGAAGTTCAAGACTCAAAAATTTTATATTTCCGATTAAAAAACTGTATATTTTATAAGCAATATATTAATAAATTAAATCTGGGGTCATTCTATGACCCCATTCATTCATGTCATTCCATGACATCTTAAAATTCGTTCAGGAAGCACACATCCTCCCGAATTTTAAAAAAAGCCATAGATAATATACATTATGAATGTATTTTAATGATTTAATTGAACTTATTAAATGAGAAACAAACATTGCCTATATTAGTTAATAGTATGAATTACAAAATTCTGTTCCTTTAAATTAGTCTAAAACTTAGTATTAGCTATACACTGAGTTTGATTCAGTTACAAAAACTTGATACTTTAAGTATCGGATGCATATTAATAGTTACTTAGATCATAAATAAAACTGGGAGTGAAATAATATAAAGTAAAATTTATATTGCTTCTATTAGAACTAAAAGTCTGTGTTGAATTTTTTTGGATTATCTTTAATTTTAATTAGTTTATATTACAAATTTAAAAATTTTGGTTATAAAATAAAACGAAATTCGATTTAAATCAACTACAAATATTTCGCTAGAAAATTAACCTACTTAACATGCATTCATTATCATTAGTTTCAATGAAATCGTATAAATATAATAAATCCATGGATGAAACAGTCACAATTTTATATAAAATGAACTGAATGTTTTTACTAAAGCAAATATTTTAAGGTTATCTATTTCCTGATGATTTAATTAGCTGACAAAAGACTAAAACTTCTTAAGCTCATGGGAAAACATTTTAAGAATCAAATTGAAATGAATTATTCCACTTCTTGTGGATGATTAACTGTGGTTGCAACACTATGAATTTTCATGCTTGTGCATTTAAGCATTGTTTCTACCCTCTTACTATGGCATAGCTAAATGCCCAAAGTCCTTATAAGTCATTAATATAAGCTGCAGTGATTAAGAAAGTGAAAAAAAAAATTTAAAAGAAATAACTAAGCTAGTAGATGATATTAAATGAGTTGAAAAAAAGTAGAAGCATCTTTAAAGTTTATTTGTTAAACCTCTGATTGAGAAATTAATATTTGTTATTATCCCTATTTTGTCTGAGAGACTATATGTATTTTGATTTTTTGGATATTTCAATTTTTTTCTAATCCCTATAAATTATTGAAGTTTCATTGTGGTTATCAATTATATTAACCTATCAACAATTCCATACTAACTATAATATTAATAAATTAATTAAACAAAATGCCATAACTTTTCAAACTAAGAATTTTAAATAGAATACATTATTTACCTTTGAAAAACCTTTGTTTTTAATCCAATTCGCGCATTTTTCGATTTCATGCATATCATCTAAGGGAACTGACTCAGGTCTTTGTTCATTTGATGAACATTCTATCACACGACCAATTGGTGCCGAATCTTCACTGCTAAATGCAACAGACATGGCTAAAAGAAAATTCGTATTATAAAATTAATTTGATAGAAGTTGTTTCTAATGTATATCACACTTTATGCAATTTTACTGTATTACTGTTTCTAATACTGAGCATTCCCAATTATATGGGCTAATGACCAGATAATTAGGTAATCAGTTTGAATCCACTAACATAAAGAAATACTTGTTAATTGTTAATCATATAAACCTAAGTACAGATAGCATTAATGGTGGGAAAAAACAGGAAGACTTCCACCTTACTATTACGAAGTTATTTTCACATTAAAGCTTAAAAATAATAGTTTATACCATCAATGAGTTTATGAGTTTTATCTATTTTTTGCCAGTTTATTAGTTTCAAGAGTATAAATTTGCTAACTTTCTCAATATTTAAAATGAAATTAAATAAAAATATCACAAAAGAATAATCCAACGTTTAAATAAATAAATAGGCAAAAAAAGTAACTACGATTTTTAGAAGATATGGGCAAAATTTAGAACCAATCAATAAATTAAATGAAGGAGTTATTCAGCAACTTGTTAATTTTCTTTTCTCATTGATTCAATTTCTTTTAAATAAATTAATAGTTTACGACTGTCTAAATTTATAAAACTTGGAAATATCTAATAAATATGGTAATATTGAGTGAAAACTTAAACTGACTGAAAAATAACTAAATTATTCACACTGTCTTTCCTTCTGAAACGCAACACCAGTTAAAGAATTATTGTTAACACTCCATCAATCATTCATATTAAATCAAAATTAAAAATATTTATTAATATTATATCCAAATTATAAATAGTACTCTCAGTGCTATTTAGTACTAGTAACTTTACATTGAAATAATAAAAATATATATTAACAATCAAGCTACTTGAGTTTAATTCAAATAACTAACAAATATATTATCAAAGAATTATTTAATTGTAATAATTTCCATTTTGTTTTATTAAAGTGTGAATGTTTTGATACAATTACTGAGCAAATTCAAGGCAATATATCAATGGTATATGTCGAAAAACTTCTTTCCAATGTCCAATAAAGTGTATGTTTTTTAGACCTTTAAATTGCTTTAAACATGTTTAATACAATTTCAACACAATATAGTTAGTCTTTACATTTTTCTTCTTGTTAAAATTTTTTTTAAATATATTGACACTGAATTATTGTACTCAATCAAATGTTCCTTCTAAATAAACAAATAAAATTATTGTGTACATGTTTTATTCTGAATATAATTTATTTTAGTGTTATAAGAAAATAATTCATTTGTAACTAATATTTGGTATTAACTTACAATCAAAAAAAATTTTTTTATCCATTTTTTTAAAAATAATATTAAGATGGATCATCTATTAGCAATTAATTTTGAATATATTTTTAAAGCTTAGCGCTTGGATAAGAGAAGGAAATATTTGACTTTTGATACGAAAGTTATATTGTTAATTAACGCTTTATTTGGTAACTAATAATGTAACATACACAGTGTTTTCATCATAGAAAAAAATGGGTGAGAATTTCTCAAAAACAGGGTGAGATTTCAAAAAGTTAAGTGAGATTTCAAAAAGTTAAGTGAGATTTCTAAAAACTAAAAAAACACAAAAACTCTTGGAAAAAAAATCATTTCTTTAATTATAATACATTTTTAACGTCTTCTATTTTTAAATCATAGAATATTTTTGGTGCATCATCATAGATGATTTTGCCTATACAATAATTTGTCCATCTTACATTAGCACATAAAAAATTTGAACGTCTTACATGAAGAAACCTTACCTACACTGAACATGTGGTTGCAGAGAAATGTGTTCTGAAAGGGGTTCCGTGGTTGTGTTCTGTTGTTCGAAATGGTTCTGAACAATACTGGTAAATAAGGAAGCTATATAATGTGGCGGATGTTGAAAATAATGAAAGATCCAGGAAGAAAAGTGAAATGGATTTTATTCTAAATGGCGTAATTCGAAGCTTTTTCTAAAATGTGAGAAATTCGCGAATTTTGAAATTTATTTATAGAATGCGCAAATTTCTCACAATAATAATTTTTTAATGCAAGAAAAGAAAAAAATATACGAGATTCTCGCGCTGTAGTGAAAACGCTGATACAACAAATCATCAGAAATATATTATAAAATAATGTCATTGTTACATTTTAATAACTCTAATGTTCTTAGATCTCAATAACTACGAAATTATAATGTTAATAGAAACTGAAAACTTCATAAGAAACAATAAATGTCAAAAATATACTAATGTTAAAAACAATAAATGTTAAAAATTAATGTAGAATAATATCCAATACTTACGAAAAAAACTGAATTGAACGATATTTTCAATTAATCATTTCAAATTACTGGTAAAAATAACTATCACATGAAATAAAATGTGTGACATATAATCGATAGTATTTCACTTAAATACTTAATTTTTAACAAATTATTATAGATTTAACTGCGTAAAAACTGTTTTGCTTCTTTTTTAGATCTTTTTGTTAATATTTCTCTACCTGATCACTGAGTGGTAATTTACAGACCGATGAGAATATTTTTTTCCGGGACTGAATTTGATTACTACTTTTATGATTTAAAACTTTGCCAAATTTGTTTAAGACATCATGCTTATTCTTTTCACAACACTCCATCCCCTTTAAAATATATGTCAAAATTTGAAACTGTCTAGTAAGCCATAACACCATTAATTTATTGTAGAATCCAAATCATTGCCAATAAAATTATTTTGCAAAAATAAAAATAAAAAGTTTTGTTTTATATCCATATAGATGGTTGACTGAAAGTAAACAATAACAAGCTTCCTAAAACCGAAAGAAATTTAGAAAACGTCTGGTGTATCCTGCCACTTATGAAGAGTTTTCTGTGATTTATAAATTCAAACAGGTAATGAGGGGAAAATTACAATTACAATTAATTACAATTTAATTGCAAATATCACATCTCAAATCTTATGCATCAAATATTTTAAAATAATACCTATCTATAACTTGAGAAGCTTGAATTCTCATCATCTTTCTTTTAGTGTTAGATAAATATTTTTAATGTTGAGTAATAGAAAAATAACTAAAAACACTAAATTGAATGTTTTGTAATTCTTTTGAAAGTAATAACTTTGCTTATACTTGAATGTCAGAAACATTCATTAGCATTTAATACTAACACTGAAAAACTAGTGAAAAAGTCATAATTAAAGAATAATAAGCAAAAACCCTTAATATATTCACACCTTTCTCATAAGCCATTTCTCGAAGCTTTGTCAAATTTGAGAGATCTAGCTTATTTTCATCAAACTTGCTAGCCCAGTGTAAAACAAAATCAAATGACTGTAAGAGTTCACTGTAATCAATACCAGAAAATTTATCAGACGGAGACTGTATGACATCCCCTTCTACAGAATGAGCATCCTCACAAGACACATCAACATTTGACAAATTTAGAGTCCAATCTTCGGGAGATTTAGGATCTTCATAGAGCTCATCACATTTATTTCCAATTACTTTAAAATCAAGACCATGGCGGGACTTAAAATTGTTCAACCAGCCATTACTTGCTTTAAAATCAGATGATCCTCCCATTGACTTATTCATTTCCAATGCCTTCTCACAAATTGCTGGTCCAGACAAAGTTTGCCCATTATACTGAGTTTCTAAATACCAATTATAAACAGCTTCATCTAAACTTTTATTGTACGCTTGCTTCATTGTTTTTCTGCGATCCATAACTTCCATACTTTCAAAACAAGAGACAAATTTAAGTATGCTAGCTTGTTTTGCTTTGATATCACCAACACTCGATGTCCCAATATTATATTCTCTAGCCAAATGACTTACAGACGCCCCTTCGTTTAGTTTTTTAATGATATCAATTTTTTGTTTCAAACTGAGTACAACTCGCTTACGCTTCTGCGGTAGAGCTTGCATTGCAAAAGATTCAAAGGAATTTTCTGGACTTTCAACGACATCTGTTTTAATATAATTATTATTGCAATTTAAGTTAAAATTCTGATTTGTTGCGTTGACATCGAGTCCATGGCGTGATCGAAAATTCTTCAGCCATCCTTCACTAGCTTTAAAATCTGGTGAACCATAAATAGTGCTGTTTAGTTCGAATGCTTTTTGACAAATATCTCTCCCAGACACAAATTCTCCTTTTTTTTGCATTTCAATATACCACTCATACACTTTATCATCTAACTCTTTGTTTATAGAATTTCTCATAGTTTTTCTTCTTTTCATCGCATCCTCACTCTCAAACGAAGAGACATACTTTAAAATTGAATCTTTTTTTGACTGTATATCTTTAAGACTTGAAATACCAATATTGTATTCTTGGGCAATAGCTTTTGCCTTGCCTCCATTATCTAATTTATTTAAGATTTCAATTTTTTGTTGCAAACTCAGGACGACACGTTTTCTCTTAACTCGTGGAGCACAGGGAATTTCATTACTAGTGGATGGTTTTGAATTGGAATCAAAGCTATTGCTTAATCCATCGTTAAAATTTATTTCGGCATATGAATAAGAATTAAAAATATTATTTTCTGCAGGTGAGCTATTTTCCATTTTTTTTTGTAGTACTTGGTGAATATATATGCAATTAATGTCGAAGTTTTTGATAATTTTTTCAAAATTTGAGAAAGTAGCAAATTACTAAAATATTTACTCTCTATGAAACAAAAGAATACGCGTATGAAAACCTTTTCTGCAAATCAATAAGTAATTTAAGGCCATTACCAAGTCAGATATCTACAACGTCTTACTTCTTTTAGACTATTAACTTTATCTTGAAGTGCAATAACATGAACACTAAGTTTATTTCAAATTATATATAGACTTTCAACGATTAAAATATATAAACATAGAAAAATATGATAAAAATGTTAAATGAGGAGAAAACTGATATGGAAAGGAATTAAATATTTCCTTGTCATCTTGAATTCGCTTTACCGAAAAAAAGATATTAAACAACCATTTCCTTCTTGATTACTTAAAAATAGTGTTATTAAAAATATAAAACATAGAAACTTCGGGAAATAAAGCAGTATTTAAGAAAGTTGTAATATATTTACTTTACGGTGAGATTAATCAATACCTAAGCCTCAAATTCTAGACAAATGATAAATTAATACTTTCGGATTTTGAAACTAAACAAAACAGACCAAAAAACATGTTGTTTGTTATAATCATTTCGTAATATAATGCATAATAAATATTTGCTTCCAGCTTTCATGCACACATATGAGGCTTATTCGCCTTAACGAAAACGGCACTTTTCCTTCACCAACCAGGATCATTCATTCATATCACAGGTTACCCAACGAATGAGAATCGCATTTAGCATGCAAACGCATTTGTGAATTGCATGCAGCAAGGATGATCCATAAGGCAGGCTGCGCAATGAATAGAAAGATAGACATACGAGTTTCCATAATGGGTGAGTTTCCTGAGTTTCAATTTGAATATATTCAAGTCCTGCAGTGGACTGATCGTTAAGACACGTTTCCCAGCAGATCACCAAAGTCAAGCATCACAGGCTACGGTCAGTGTGCGGGAGGGTGACCACTTGGATCAGCCTGTGGTGGATCAGCCTGTAGGGACCAAGGGTGTGCGGTATGGGTCCTCGTTAAACTGTTCTACCACAAAGTGCTCGATTTCGCGAGCAGGTCGTCGGGCTACCGAAGCGGGGGTGGCATCCCCTCTTTAGAGGATCAAAATTGTGATGGCATGTCTTCGGATCATCCTCAGGGATGTTTCCCAGACCGTCGCCAATAGCCCATTGTGCAGCGCTAGTGCGACGTAAATGAACAACAACAACAACAAATATATTCAAATATAAATGAGAGAGGCAAAAAAGAAATAGTATTAAGTAAAATTCACAATGGAAAAAGTTGCTCTGGTGTCTAACTTTCTTTATTAGTGATTTGATATATTTCGAATTTCTATCGCGTTTTTGTTATATATACATACATTTTTGTTATGTATACCCAGCTAGAAAAGCAAGTAGACAACGCAAGAATCCTATTTCTAAATATAGAGATAATTTTATATAAGATTAAATCGAATTCAATAATTACATAACATTCGATAATTACATAATAATCTGTTGTGGCGATTGTTGCGTGATTGATTGTGATACACAAAACTATCAGGCTTTTATAAACGTTGCGGTTGTCCTTGGAATGTTTTGAATTAAGGTTTTTATCCTTCGCATGTTTGCGAAATTCATATTTAAAAAAAAGATAATTTTTGGCAAACATAGAAGACAGCAAAATAAAATTGAAAATATTTGAGCCCCTGAATCATAGCCTTAAAAAATATAAATAAAAGTGCAATACCGAAATTACACCACGTGTATAAAGTTTGAACTATTGTAAAATGTTCTCCAATAAAAGATAAATGAGCTAACTTTTTACAAAATATTTAACTTAAAATGTTTATTGGAGTAATCATTGGTTAATGAGAAAATTTTTCTTGAGCTCTTAGTTTTCTAAATCAGTATGAGCATCAGCATGACCATGCGAGCACTTCATGTAAAGACTAGTAAAGCTTCTCATTTTCTCCGTCAGGTTAAATTCGTATTTCAAATTTAAAAATTTATAAAATTATGCAGGTAATAATCAGATATTCAATTTCAATAATAATTTATAAAATTTAGACGATAAAAAATAAAATTAAATTCTAATCAACGCATGATTCCAAATTAAAAGGTAAGATGATATAAAATCAACATTTGTTTCAGCTGTTTTTTATGTAAATTCCTCTCTACTTACATGATTTATAAATTATTATAAATCAGAAGGTATAAGCAGTGCTTATCCAAACTTAATTGATTTTAACTTATCCTAAAGTTTTGCTGCTATAAAAAAGGGCAAACGTTTTGTAAACAGAGCCTTATTTGATTATCCTAAAGTCAAGGTATGAACTTTTTGGAAATTTATTTAGAAAAATTTAATAAAATGGTTAATTATCTCCTTTACACAAAAATATGCAGTGTATCATACGTATAAATAAATATTTCTCAGGCAAAAAAGTTCATAATAGAAGAGAAATATAAATGAAAATGAATCTATGTTGTGTGCTTATAAAATTAATCTATGTTGTTCTGGAAAATCTATTTTTATATCTTTGTGGTGAGATCGAGGCTCATAACAAAGATGCATTCGCTCAAAATTTTATTAGCGGCTAATTAAAAGCTATAAGGTTCTGTGAATTTTTCCCCTTTAAATACATTAACTCTATTCGGTTATACAACGACTAAAAATTACAGACAATTGCAGAAACAATAAACAAACGAACGAGAACTATTTTAATAGACAGAAAATCAATATTTTCAATGATTAATGATAAATTTGCACAAGGTTGCTCACAAGGGAAGGTTCTTTGTTCTAATTCTTTCTAAATAAGGTTCTAAATTCTTTGGCATGTGAGGAAAATCTCTGAAGAAGACGCGATGCTTATTACGCAAAAGTTACGAAATTTAAAGCAAGGTTTCCGTGAATATTTTCATGTCTCCGAAAGAAAAGATAACTGGATTAGCGATCCATTTGCAGTAGATGAGTGTGGACAGAATGGTCTCACATCCAGTAGAAAAACAGCTGATAGAAATTTCCACAGATAGAGCTTTGAAATTGGTTTGCAAGAATAAGTCCCTTTCAAGCTTATGAGGTCACTTGCAGGGAAATGTTACTGAGTTGTCACACGAAATCTTTGAAAGTCCTGATGCTTTTCCAAACGGAAAAGGTATTCTCTGGATTACTTTGAAATTATGCTTGGCACCTTTGCAAAAAGCCAAGCATAATTTTTTTTTTCCTAGTCGAAAAAAAAATTTATATATAAATTATATTTTCGATTTAAGATTAAAATTCCATTGTTTCATTAATGAATCTTAGGTACAAATAAGAATATATAAGAGAATGGAATAATATTTCTCCTAATAAAATTTCTGTTTTAAAATGGAAACTGAAGATGCTACTGTTAATGATTTTGTTTAAAATAGAATAACAAAAGAAAGGAAAATGATGTGCATTTAACTTTTGAATCATTCTAAAGAGAACTACTTTTAAATTACTTAACAAATCTGTCGTGTTAATCTTTATATCGTTTCATAAAATAAACAAGGAATAGATACATGAATAATTTATTATTAAAACAATATTTCAGAGGTGGTTATGTCTGGTGATAAATAATTATCACCAAGGCGTGATACTTCCCCTGATCTAACTACTCCTGATGAGCATCTTCGCTGTGGCAGAAATGATAGACTGAGGCCTAAAGCTTCAATTAACCCCAGTAGATAAAGTGGGGCGAAATTTTGGGGCAAATCGTCAAAGGCACGAATCCATATAGATAATATCTTCTCGGTTTCCCCTCCCTACTTATAGTTAAACAAAGAAGTTGCGTTTTTGTGCCATATCTTACTGTCCTTAATCGTCTAACTTAAATCCTCATATGCACTAATAGACTGGTATATTTAATATTAGCTCCTTTTAAGATAGGAACTAATTTCATAAAATTCCGATAATTATTCACACAAAAAATTACAGTGCATGTTAAATTACTGCCGAATTTAGTGTTCCATGGTTTTTATATTTTAGCTTACTTTTCGCCGAAAGTTGTTCAGCTAAAGAAAGATGCCAAATCTGGCATTAGTGAAACCATCAAGCGATCAAATAATGCTTCTAAACCAATCCTGGTCTCCGAAAGAAAGAGAACACCATGCGAAATTGGGAGAGTTCGCAGTCCGTTTATGGAATGAAAACAATATGACTGATATATTAATTTTAGTACAATCTAAGGAATTTCGAACGCACAAAGCAGTTCTCGCTTGCTATTCTCCTTATTTGCAAGAAATATTAGAACAGCCTGGTTTTAGTGATGTCCATGTTGTAAGTATCGTTTTTAAAAAAAAGCATTATGTTCACTATCTTCGTAATGATAAGGGATAATAGTAATTTTACATTTAATTTTCAACACTGATGAATACCATACTTTCAACTATTACGTTACTTTTATCTAGTAGAAACAGATTTGCATCACTTGGGAATCGAGCTGCCTTTAAGTAATTCATTGCTCAAACTTGCGATTTCATGCAGTGAGGTAAATGGAACCCCAAATTTAGAAAATAAATAAATAATGGTAGAAAGATTTTCAACGTTATTCATTGTGTAAACCTATTAACAGACGCGGTGATATAAATTTGGCACCAACTTAACCAACTAAATAGAAAGTGGTAGTAAGATTTCTTTTCTCAAACAAAAATAAATAATCCGAAGTAACTGAAGCGGCAAGACATTACCTGATAAGAAAACTTCATCCTCTTGAAAAATATAGGCAATGTTACCAACTTTCTATGCTTTTTTGGAAAATTTCTATTAGTGGAAGCTAAATTTGTGTTTTAATGCATGATTTTTTGCTTTATAAATTTAATTTAAATTTATTTTCTACACCACTACATTTAAATGGTTCGGAAGTTCATATAATGTTCCATTTTGTTCTAACTATCTCGTCGTGTTGCAGTTAAATCCTTGGACAAAGTACTAAAACTCTAAAAGTATTAGCCTTTAATTGAGCAACACTCCATAAAATATTTTTCAAAAAGCGTAATAGTTGGCAGCCCTGTATATGATAGCAAATAACTAATCGACGTGTTTCAAATGCTTAAAAAATAGGCGCCATTTTCAAGGCTTGGCAGACGTGAATCAGAAGAAATAAAAGTGACTTGAAATAAAAACGTAAAGTTGCCAACAAAAAGTAGAAAAATAAATGTGGGAAACAAAACTAGAAAAATCACAGTATCAGAGAGAAAAAAAAAGCTAAAAAACTAAATAAGAAAAACCACAGTGGCCGAAAGGAGCAAATAAGATAAAATTCACTTCCACGCGCTGTGGAAAGGTTGTGAGGAATTAATGACTAGCCATCGCATGGATTTGAACTCGGTTCACCTCATTGGAAGGCGAATGTCCTATCCCATGAGCCACCACGGCTCAACCATATTAATTATAAACTTTAAATTATTCAGTATAATAGTAGTACCTTGCTGACTTCCAGTTTCGGCCAATCCATGGTAACTAACAAATCAAACGCACATCAGTAATGCAGTAAAAAAGCTCCATAAAGAAATCCTTCTATTTTCGTCTTTTGTAATCTGGCAAACTTGTTACGAAAATATTTTAAATCATTTTTGAAAGATACAGAAAAATGTAAGTCCATATTCGATTTCGCTACTCGCTTTATGGATTACATTTGTATTTTATTCTGTATTTTCTTGTATTTTATTTTTCATTTTTGCTTTATTTCACTTATTTTTATTTAACATGTTTTAATTTTGTTTCTATTTTTTGGGTACTCCTCACACTATTGTATTAATATATTTTGCTTTGGCTACATTAATATAATATTAGAAAGCACTTTTCTTGCGGATATAATCGTGTGAGCTGATGACGTTTCATTATTTTATTTTCCTGCCTATTGATTTTGTTTTATAAAATTGTTTCTAAACATTTTAAACTATATATATATATCATGTATCATAATCATGTTTGTAGTTGGAGCTGCCTGCTGTTACTCCAAGAGCATTTGAAATATTATTGGAATACATGTATACAGGAAAAATGGTGGTTAACTGCCAAGAATTAAGTGAGGTGTACTTATCAGCTAGAAGATTGGACATAAGAGGAGCTATGGAGAAGTGCATGGAAGTAATAGTGATTTTGGCAAAAAAAAAAGAATATTGATTTAATTCAATTTATTTCTCGTAGAACAAAAAAACTAAAAAATTTTATATTACCAATGAAACGTTGTATTAAAATCATCAAACACAGCAGCTTATGCGCAGTAAATAAAATATATATATTTTTTTTCTTAATTTCTTTCCGATTTCTCTATTTTCTTCTTTAATGTGTGCGTGCGTGTAAAATATATAAGATAAAGGTTTATGAAAAGAAAAGAAAAATATAATTAAATGTAATAATTTTTTTAAAGTTTTAATATTAAAAAAATTAACATTTAAGAAATTAAAATTAAAATTTTTTTTTCATTAAATGTTAATAATTTTTCTAACCATAAAAAATCTCCTCAAACTGTATTTAGATTGTATTTACATATTTTGCAATCAGGCAAATTAGTTACGAAAGTATTTTAAAGATACCGTTACGTGTAAGTATATTCGAATTCGCTGCACGCTTTATATATTACTTTTTGTGTTTTATTCTGTATTTTTGTTTGTTTTTTTTTTACTTCTTAATTTGCATTTTTCGTATTAATGTGCATTTTTTGCTTAGATAGTTCTTTTTTCGTTTCAATTTTTCTTGGTGCTCCGCACAGTATTGTATTGATACATTATGCCTTGGCTATATGAATGCAATCTTAGAAAGCACTCTGTTTTGCGGATATAATCGTGTGAGCTGATGATGAAGAGATTATAAACTGCTGTTTGTAGAAAATGCAACACCATGAAAGAATCATCAGAATCAAATGAAATTTAATGCAGAAACGACTTGTACTGATACAAATAAATGATGAAATTTTCAAAACAAAAGAAACAAATTAAGCGTCCGAAATCAGTATTTGGTGCAGCCACCACGCGCTGCAATAAGTGCTGCTATACGACGTGGCATGGAGTCAAACAGATGTTGAATATCTGCTTGAGGAAGAGAATTCCATATCGCTTGTATGCGCAACCAAAGTTCGTCTTTGGAAACTGCAGGACGCGGATCACGAGTGAGACGCCGACCAACCATATCCCACACGTGCTCAATAGGCGACATATCCGGCGAATAAGCAGGCCAAGGAAGAAGTTGCATGCGTTGTGCTGAACAGAAGTCTCTAACAGTCCGCGCAACATGTGGGCGTGCATTATCCTGCTGAAAGATAGCTCCAGGGATGCCTTGAAGGAAAGGAACGACTTCGGGCTGTAGCACTTCACGGACGTATCTGTTGCTATTGAGATTACCCTCAATTCGTATCAAATTGGATCGTCCATGATACGAAATCGCACCCCAGACCATAACTCCGGGTGTTCGACCACTATGTCGTTCAATAATACACTCAGGAAGGCAGCGTTGACCGGCATAACGTCTAACACGAACACGGCCATCATGGGTCCACAAATTGAAGCGTGATTCATCTGAAAAGACAACTTGGTGCCAATCAGCTCGCCAGTCTCTGTGCTCAAGAGCCCACTGCCGACGCAGCCGTCGATGATCCGCCGTGAGGGGAATCCTGTATAATGGCACCCTTGCACGCAATCCACGGCGCAGCAGACGACGACGAATTGACGAAGCCGACAATTGTACACCTGTAGCAGTAGACCAATGTGCTGCCAGCTGCCTGGAGGAAGCTGTGCGATCATTCACCGCCATGCGGAGCAGGTGTCGATCATCGCGCTCTGACGTCACCTTCTGTCGTCCAGTGCCTGTTTTTCGAGTTGTTCGGTGCTCGTCGGTCCACTGCTTCCAAACTCGCATCACTGTGGAACTGTTCCGCTGCATACGAGCTGCTATTGCGCGATAGGAAAATCCTCCTTCTCGAAGGCCGATTATCCTCCCTCGTTCAAACTCCGTAAGTTGCTTGAATTTCTTATTCTTCCGTCGTGGAGGCATACTCAGGTCTCACTAAACGTTTGCCACTAACAAATAATCATAGACTATTTTCAACGTCCCGCTACAGCACTTTATTTATACGCTTTCAGCATCAATTCAGAGGGCGCTGCGCGCGCCACGCACGCGCGATGGCTCTGAAACTTTATTAATTTGCATAATATCCTATATCCATTATTAAAATAATATTTCATTTGATTCTGATGATTCCTTCATGGTGTTGCATTTTCTACAAACAGCAGTTTATCTTTTCATTGTTTTGCCTTCGACTTTTTAAATTTTTTAATGATAAAAAATTAATTAAATTCTATAATTAATGAATCCTAATGTGTAGACTTTTTGACTTCAGACTGAAAATTCATATAACATATGTTAAAGGCGGTGGTTACGGAACGGTCTTACATAAGTATTAATAGCATTGTTAATGCTTTCTATACTCAAAGTATAAATAATTTAATAAGTATTAATATTTATATTTTCAGTATCTCGATATAAGCCCACGTAATATCCAGAACTTGGTTTACCCTTACGTATTAACACGTGAACTGAATTTGGAGGATGTCAATGCAAAGGCTGTATCACTGATGACAAAGAATTTTGAGAGAATGGCGGTAACAAAAGAATTCTTAGATCTTGAAAATGATCAGATTGTTGAACTACTCAGTGCTGATGAAATCGGAGCAAGAAAGTAAGATATATAAAAACAGTTTCATCTCTCTCATTTTTTTTTATAATCCAGGAAATCACATTTGATAAAAACTGGATGATGATAATAATATTTTAGTTTAAAATAAATTTGAATTCCTAATGCAACAGATTTTAAAAGAAATTACTATGTTATAATGTGCAGTGCGTAAAAAAATAAGCAGACCACCCAAAATAACTTTGGATCTAATGATCGGATCTTACCCGTACTCAGTTTTATTGTTTGGAGAGGGTAACCTCAAATATGCTAATTACTTAGTGCAGACGATATTTTGAGTTACGAAATCAGACACAAAAGCGTACCTTCTCTGAATAAACATATACCATTTTTTAGACGGATTTGAATTTCTGATCCCCCAAAATATAGAGGGTTGCCGCAATCTGGGAAATATGGTCTCAATAGTTTGGCCAGGAGAGCGGTCCAAAGTTTGGACCCCATAATGAATTTTAACTTTTACGTATTTCACCATATCTCGAGAACTTTCTAAGCGAATTGAAAAAAATTTGCACACAGTTATTAAGTTCGTTTATCGAAAGATAATTCCATAAAAAAATATATATTTAGGAAATATATATTATTTTTTATTATTCTATTAAGTGATAGTCGAAATACATTTAAATTGTTAGGTAAACATTTTTTTAATCATTTTGAAGTATGTAATTTTTGCATGATGAAATACAAAATTTGAGCAAAATTAGTTGAATAGTTCCTAAGAACTTGATTTTTAGGGAAGTTGTATAATTAAAATTTGATTTCTCAGGAACTAATCAACCGATTTCGCTCAAATTTAATACTTCATGCAAAATTAGATACATTAAAATGGTATAAAAAAATTGTATGCCCTAGAAAATAAAAAATAAAAAAAACTATTTACTATAATTTATTTTTTGCATGCAATTATCTTAGGATAATTTTTTAAAGCATTTATAATTAGAGCCCGATGATTAAGAGTTCAGAGCGCTCGCCTTTCGATTTGGTGACCCAGGTTCGAATCCTAGTGATGACTGAGTGATAAAAATTCTTCTCCCCGCTCGCACAGACCACAGTGCTGATATAAAATATCCGTAATTGTAGACGAATCATGTATTTGAATCCTCTTACCTTTGGATTAACATTGACAGGTTTTTGTGGTTTGTCTCTTTCCCTGGAACGCAAATGTAGGTTAGTTCCATCAAAAAGTCCTCCACAAGGTTAGTTTGTCTCACTGTTTGATCCAGAAGTTCCCATGTCTTTTGGGTCGGGTTCAACACTACAGGGCGGCAGAATTAAACAGTAAAAGTGATAAATCCAGAAATGGATCTTTCAACGCCGGTGGGACACCAATAATAAAAATAAAGCTATAATATAATGATTTAGAGTAAGTTTTAAAAACTCTTTAAATCTTTTAAAATTTGGTGACTTAGGCTTAATATGAATGTTTAACTAGATTCAACTAGGCATTTCAGTGAATGAAATTAAACAAAATGTATTACAAAATATTAAAAGTTAGTGAATAAACAAGAAAATTATGTCTATCTAATTATCCATTGGTTACCAATGAGAAAGTAAAATCCCTTTCTCCTCTGAAGCTGACTCGTAGAATACATTTGTGTATAAATATGTGTATGTTTTGATCGGCGTATACAATTTTTTATACTTTCCTTGTAAAAAAACAATGTAGATTCAATTCATTAATTGAAAAATGACTATGTGTTATTGACATTTCTTACTTTTAATTTTAAAATGACTTCTGTTGATTTGATTTTGAATTAGATTTAGACAACACCACAAGATTTTTACAAAACTATGGAATGCACATGTACTAATACAAATTCAAACCATTAAACTCTGATATTCGGCAATGTTTTATTTAAGGCACTTATTGTTTATTAAGGTCACTGTACTTAAGGTAAGGTACTGTTTATTGAGGTATTTGGCTGCAAATATAACTCAATCCATTTTCAGAAAACGCCTATCACCCATATGTATATGTCTTAAATCTCCCCAAAGGTTGATAGCAGGGCTCGAAAAACCGCCCATCAGCCCGTCCTCGGCGGTCAAAAATTCCCCGCGGACAACAAATTTCTCGAATCCAGCGTCCGCGCGGACGGCCATTTTCTTGTTTATGTTCGTGATACATTTTCAATTTTTGTTATCTTACAAGAGTCTAGCGCCTCACTTCTAAAATGACCCTCTAATCTCGATATACAGCAACATACTGCGCATGGTGGAAATGATGTTTTCTCTGTCTGGGAGTACTGCAGCGGTTGAAAGGGGCTTTTCAGCAATGAACTTACAAGAAGACACATTACTTACTGGTCTTAAACAAGAAGCGTTTAACGCATTTATGAACATCTACCTAAATGGAAAACCTCTTTTAGATTTCTGTGCAGAAACCTCTGTAAATCATTGGCTTGATTGTGGAACTGGCAATATATTTGATTCATTTAAAAAACGCAGTACCATCGGATAAATTGACATGATAATTGACAGATAACTTAACCTTTGCTATTTGAATTATTTCATAATAGAAATACTAGGTTTTACTTTTAGTAACCTAGTATTTCTTTTATTACTGTATAATGTAATCCTAGTATTTGTAATCCTAGTAACTACTAATTCATTGTGCAATTTATATAAATGTTTGTAATAAATAAGAGAAAATTATATTTTTACTTATTTAGAAGCGACGGGTTAGTTTCAAAGGAGGACGGGTACATTGTTGGACAAGCCGTCCTCGGGGACGGGTAAAATTTCTGAGTTTTTTCGAGCCCTGGTTGATAGGTAGTTTTTATCAAATGCATGCAGCGGTTATCATAACAAATTTACCAGCCTAACACCGCCATTATTTAAGACCTAAGATGAAGGGGAAAAGATGAGTTAATTTCTGAAAAATACAAAGCTATCCAGAGCATGTTTTTAAACCCACAATTCCATGTTTTAGAATGTCATGCACTTGGTATTTCCACCCATTTAACTCTTTAATTGTACGTACTACTTAATACTAATAATTCATCGGAGAGTTTTTAAATATAGAAACAGCTCGAAATGCGTCTTTACGAAAATGGGCACAGCTCAAAATGCGTGTTCACGAAAATGGACACAGGTCGAAATGCTTGCTTACGAAAATGGACACAGCTCAAAATGCGTGTTTACGAAAATGGACACAGCTCTAAATGCGTCTTTACTGAAATTTACAACTCGAAATGCGTGTTTTCGAAAATGGACTCAGCTTAAAATGAGTATTTACGAAAATGGACACAGCTATTTAAGATAGCATTTGATTCCGTTTTTCAAACTTCTTTTATGAACATTTTTCTTTTTGTTAAAGAATAAACTAGTGAATCCAAATAAATTCATAATGCGTGATATCATCTATTTACATAAACACTAGATACGTTTTGTTAATATAGTCTTAAAAAAAAAAACATTAAATATCAACTGTTGTTTTTATAAGGTTGCTACAGGTACTATAAGTTTATGATAATGGTTGTAAATTTAAATGTGGGGAGCTTAGAGTTTTAAAACTTACTTTATCGTTTAGATACTGACCACCTGGAAAGTTACCTCTGTAATATACTTAGCCACCCCGAAGTTTGGGACTTTGCTCCGTAATGATTATACTTTATAAGTAAATGAGTAAGGAAAAGTAAACAGAAAACTTTGTTTAGTTGTTAAATATGGGTTGGAAACTGAAAAGGCGCATTTCAAGCTGCGTCCATTTTCGTAAACACGCATTTCGAACAGTGTCCATTTTCATAAATACGCATTTCGAGCTGCATCTAGATATGAAAACTCTCAGCCGTTTTACTAAGATAACTTTTATAAAACAGTGAAGTTGTAATTTTCTTGGCTGCATTGAAATGGCTCCATCATGAATTCTTTGAAAGAGAAAAACATTTATTGGCTGTAGTGAAATGCATTAGATTCCCACTTATGAAAATGGAGGAAATACTTGCCTGTTATCATCCTCCACTTTTACCTGGAATTATGAAGATTCCGGAAGTGAAAGAAGCCCTTCTAAATGCCACATGGTAAATACAATTTTAAGTACTTAGCTTCATGAATTTATAGTGGGATAAATATTTAAGCTAATGTAGTAAATGAGTAGTATCGTGGGAGTAGCGTTAAATTAGTATAATTAGTATACATTGAGTGACTGCTTTTTAATGACCATCAGACAGTGTTACACAAAAGAAAAATTGCCTCACAATGCTGTCACTTAATGACTTGAGAGGTGTAGAAACTTAATTTTTTGTGCATGGTAATTTATGTAACGTATCATACCTAAACATCGTTGTCGATCACACATGAGGCTGTTGGTTTATCTCAATAACTAGGAGTACTTTCTCCCATCCGTTGTGACTCCATTTTGTTGTGCTGGCCCCAACCATTCCCAAATCTCAAATCTATTGAATATTTTGGGAAAGAAGTTGAAAGAACCATCCGATATCTAAATATATCCATTCAGCCTCACTTTGCTAGAAAGTGTAATTTTTAAAGCATGGTTTAAGAGGCTATTAACAACCTCTCAACATCTCGTAGAGTGCCATGCCAAGAAGAATCGAGGCTACATTATAGCCTGTGAAAGGTGGCCAAACCAAACATCGTAGAAGGGGAGTTGTAGTAACAGGGTTGCTCAGTGCATGTTTATAACGTTAGGAGAAATAAAATGGCGCCTGCAAAGATAATTTTTAAATTTGACAGTTTTTAATTAATGCCAATGCAGTTTCTAATGGAATTTTGTTATTTCATATTTCGCATACGTTTTTCTATAAGATATTAAATTATAAAATAATTGCATCTTATGATGGAATGAAACGAACTAGATTTTGGCAGGGATTTTTTTTTACCTAGAGAGAAATATGTACGGGGATAGGTTGAAATTATTTTAATTTATTATATTAGTTACACAATGTAATTATATTAATTTGCGCAATGTAATTATATTAATTTGCATAATGTAATTATATTAATCACACAATGGAATTATATTAATTACACAATGTAATCATATTAATTACATAATAAGCTCAAAAAGGATAAAAAGAGAAAAGAGAAGAGACGAAGAAGAACTGTCAAATCAAGCGTGCTTCAGTACTGCAGTAAGAACGTGTTATAAAAGTTCCCTCTATTTTGCTTCTAACTCTATTTGCGCTTCTGTTTTCATATTTTGTAATATGGCAATCTTATTACGAAAACATTTTATATCATTCTTGGAAAATTTCGGAACGTGTAAGTTCATTTGAATTCGTAACTCGCTATGCAGATTTCGTTTTATGATTTAATCTGCATTTTCTTTCCCTATATTTTCATCTGTGTTTTCTTTTCTTAATATTTATTTTATGTTTTTTGCTTGATATGTTTTACTTCGTGAATATATTTTTAACTTAATGTGTTCTATTTTCGTTAAAAAATTTTGAGTGCTCCTCACACTATTGTATTGATATATTTTACTTTGACTATATTGATACAATAGTAGAAAGTACTCCTTTTTGCGGATACAATAGTGCGAGGTGATGATGAAGAAATTATATCTTTTCATTGCTTTGTTTTCCAGTTTATATATATATATATATACATACTGCTTAAATAACCATCTTAAAAAACTATCACACTATCATTGAAACATTATAATTCCAGCAGCGTACGAAAGATTTCGCCCTCTCATGTATCACGCTCACGCAGTGGTCGGAAGTAGAGCGCTGCAAGTAGCGGAACTAGTGTAGTCGCTACTTTTTCCCATAGTTCGAAGTGCAGTGCGCTACTTTTTAAAAAGAGTAGTGTTCAAAAGCAAAAAAATTTTCGAATCTGATTGGTGCAAATTCTTTGCGGGCCCGTTAACGTACGCAATGGGAATGCCTCTGTGACCGAGCGTTAAATAAGATCTATGTCTGATGTTCAGAAAAATCGGCACAAATTCGGTCGAATCGTTCTGGAGAAATCGGCGTCAGATGCCGTAACTTAAAATATCGTCTGCATTAATTAATTAGCATAGTCACCCCCTCAAACCATTAAAATTTAGTCCTAAAACATGATGTTGTTGTTGTTCATTTACGTCGCACTAGAGCTACACAATGGGCTATTGGCGACGGTCTGGGAAACATTTCTGAGGATGATCCGAAGACATGCCATCACAATTTTGATCCTCTGCAGAGGGGATGGCACCCCCGCTTCGGTAGCCCGACGACCT